CGCATGTTTTAGTCCTTGGCTCCATTTACCACAGTTCCATTTTGGGCACCTATTTTTGACCCACTGTCATATGTTTCCAGGCGACTCATTAATCCGCGACTTTCCAAAGGACTCCTTTGGTGTATGAGTTTTGGGACGCAGATGGGTTTCGGGAAAAAAAACCATGGCCCGCTGACTAGTGAGCTCAGTGAAGCGGGGAGCTACGTGCCCAACGTCTCCTTGATTCTTGGTGCCAAGATGCTACAGGCTTATAGCCCTTGCCTTGTCACAACCCACGTGTTGAACCTGAGCTGCTTGTGTCCTCAGGGCTCCCCCATAATTCCCCCGAAGAATCGCCACACAAAACACCTCGACCGCAATTGGTCCAAAGGGTGAGGCTTTAAAACTGGCGAAGTATCTTGCTGGTGCTCAGCAGGGAATGACCCTTGGGTGTTGGGAACGAACCTATCCTTCCATTTGCTTAAGCCCCCGGGGGAAAAAACAGAAACAAAAAGCAATATTTTCAGTAGTGATAGATTCCCTATAAAACCAGCAAGGGAAAGAAAAATAAACATGTTCTTAAGCAAATGGATGTACCAATTTGCTGAAAGGAAACCACAGGGGATGGTTTATAGGGCTCATTCCAACTCATTCCCTATCGCACGAACTAAGCTGCTTGAGGGGCCAACCGAGCAAGGCCTCCGGCAGGCGCTCCCAGCGATTCCGCACCGGGTCGTGGAAGGCCCGCACCAACGGCACCTCGGAAATTCTTTGGCCGGCGAAATCAACTGGGTCCTCCAGTAGAGAGGTTAGAAAAAAAGTTGGTGCCCGATTTGTTTTCCCTGCAGTCTATTTTGGTAGGGGAACCCTTCCAACCAAAAAAAAGAAACGGTAAAAGGGCACCGATTGCTGGGGGAGCTAGTCAAGGGCACCTGAGGGCCCAAAGCCTCAGCAGACTTTTGGCACCACATCTGGTTGTGAAGGTTTACATACACCTTACGATAAAAACCGGTCAGGGACCACCGAGGCGCTTTGCCTCGTCCGTGTCCCGGCATCAGGCGACATGCTTAAGCCACTTGTTGATTGAATTGGGTTCTTTTGTTTCACCTAAGATCAACAGCCTGGTAACACATGTTGCCACATCCTGGGTCGTTCACTATGGGGGTGTCGCACAATTGGAACAAAAAGGCTCCTTCCCGACATGAGGCTCTAACGTCCATGAGCGGCCTGGGTTGTTCCATTCCCTTGTAAAGGATCTGAACTTCTGAACTTCCACGACTTGATACTGGGAAGTAAGCTCAAAACATGTTGCAGTTCGGTTTGACTGCGTCAAGCGTCCTGCGACACTGAACGCGAGAACGAATGGACCCCTTGTCACCATGACAACCAACAAACTATGTGTCGCAAAATCACCGCTAAAAATGATTGGGTTCCGGCTGGTTTCCCTAAGCCACTCCCAAAGAAGGTACCTTCCAAGAGCTGAAAAACATGAAAAGGGTAGAACTCGTTTCAAGTTGTGTCCAGTAGACGTCTTCAGAGAAGCAGGCATGGCACGGCAATTTTCCCTCGGGTCGCGGGGTGCTTGGCTTAGATTAGATTATTTCCCCGACCACGGCACCACCCCATACAGCCACGGTGTAGCCACGGTTTCAAAGGACGTGAGCCACGGTCAAACTCCGCGGAATCAAGTGAGTACCCCCTGCTCATCCCAAATGGACCATACTGGACATTCTCACTGAACCTCATTTAGCCATGATTTGAAGTTAAAGGTGCTGCCCTAAGAATCTTGTGACCTCACAAAGGGCCTTCTTGAGGCCCCAAACCGCTCCAATGGAGATCGAAACCCAATTGCGGGTCCTTTCTGATGCTCAGGGTGGCGTGCCTTGAAATTACCATCTCTGCCCCCGGTTGGGCGAGCCCACGCTCTTGTCGTTGTGCGCGGGGTCGCAGTAGTGTGGCTCCGACTCCAGCCAATCCGGAGCCTCCATTGGTGTTTTTCTTTGGGGCCCCAGGCTGGAGCTGGTTGAAGCGAAACACGACCAAAAAAGTGCAATCGAGCAAAGCATCAGCCAAACGTCACCTGCCACAAATCCAGGTCGAAAGACCAAAAGGCAGAACCTCAAGATGAGACTTTAAGCTCCGATGCCTACCAACCCTCACCAAAAGCAACATGGATCGTAGCCTTTGGAACCTAAGCTAATCTCGACTTGGTTTGTGGAACATCGCCCGAACTTGGAGCTGGTACCCCTTTCTGTGTGGTTTGAAAGGGACACCAACAGGAAGCCACCATTTTTATCTCCTTTTTTTTTGAAGGGCTCCCCGAAAAAAGACACACCCATACGTCATTCCCCTGATTCCTTTGTCACTTTGCGGGGATCCCAGAACTCAGCACGGGAAATGGTACCGGGATACCTTTCAGATATCCGAGGCCACCTTTCTCGCTCGGATCCGAGGTGCAAGTTCTTGAACGGGTAGACATGGGTGCAATTTCCCTGCAGAGGTTCTTGAGCTTCCTAAACTCTTTGGGGTTTCATGTCGTCTACCATCCCGTCCGATTACCTTGAAAGGGAATGGCCTACCAGTGCTCAGAATGAACACTATGATGCAGACAAATCCCATGGCATCCCAGCATTCCCACCCTCAACCATGATATCCGCTCCATATGCCGAAGCTTTGCTGCAGCCAAGCCAGTCCACCAGACAAAACAGGGGACATGTTCACAAGTAAGCTGCAAAGAAAGGAGTGGCAGTCCGGCCCTTGACTCTTTCCTCATCTGATAATGTCAGCTTGAAATTGGCAATCGGCTGGCAAAAGCAAGTGCCAGCGGGCAATTTTGGCACAAATAACGACAGCTTGCCGTGCTCAATCTTCGTGCTTGCCAATGGCACAGCGTGGTACATTGAAAGACAGCTCCTCTTTCCGCAACGCTCGGCTTCTCATTATTTGGTGCTCTGAGACGTCACCAGGTGTGCATGTTTAGCGGACCCCCCCAAGCAAATATGGTGGTTTTCCTCTTGGCTTCCTCTTAACATCACAGGGGTACCCTCAAAACAATGACAGAATGACAGCCCCGTAATGTTGACCCAGGATGAATAAACCCGTCCCATTATTGGGTGTGTGTGTGCCCTCCAAAAGTGATGAAACCACACTAAAAGGGGACACCCCCCTATAAATCAACCAGGGGTTCTGCTTAATCCGGGTCTAACATTATTGAGTTTACTCCATTTTACGAAAACTGCCCATGGCCAAGACGCTGGGATGCCCGAAGCCTCACACTCAGCTCCATTTGGCCTCTTTGATCGGACTCGACATCCGCTCAAATCAAGGAGCCAGACTTGGGCCTAGAAAGCAGGCCCTGGTATGACACCGATACAAACAGACCGGCATGAAACCCAACAAGCCCATCCGTAGGAACGCAGGCTTTGGGGAAATCCCACGGCCTTTGACAGAAAACAAGAGTTCGTTGATCCCCTGGATAGAAGTTCGAGTTTCTTCCATTTGCTTGAGCAGCCTGGAAACAATAAACATACTTCCAGCAGTGATGGATTCCTGTTAAAAGCAACGAGGGAAAATAAAACATATTCATTTCAGCAAGTGGAAGGTTTTAGTGTGATGCCAACCCCCCCCCCCCCCCGAAACCCTTTGGGCACTGTGCACCTCGAAAAGGATCAATCCGTCAGCCAGCCTTGATGCAGACATAGAAGATGCCTGCCACACCCGAGAACCTCGGCGACTCGGCGCCCGTCACTTGGAAGGTCGAGCGAGGTAACCGAGAAACGACGCCGCTGTCAAAAAAAATCGGGATTCAGGATACCACTGAAGGTCTGGGCACCGCATAAGACTCGCCGCACGGCCATTTTTTTCGTGGTTTCTTCACCATTCGCGCGTCGGCCAACGTGATCTGCGCGGCACTGTGAGCATGACCTGCAAGGGAAGCTCTCGGAGGAGCGGGATCCACCCCAGAGCCTCCAGACACCATGGGGTTCTCCGAAGTACGGCCCCAAGAAAGCCTTGTTCGGGAAATTTGAGGAATTAGGAGAAAATGTTGGGGTTGGAGGCTTCTTCATTGGATGCTTTTTTGCGACCATTTCCAACGAGGAGTTGTTTCTTTTTTTACTGCTTAGTCTATTGGCTCTGGATTTTTTTTCCAGGAGCTTTGGTGGTTTACAGCTCAAGCTAAGGCATCAGGCCCTTTTGAGGTCCAAACCCTTCTAAATGAACATCCACACTCCTGGATCCCATGATGCGTTGGAACTTCAGAGGTGTTGCGTTTTGGCTTTTGATTTGGCAGAGCTTTTAGCATTTGAAACTTGATCCCCCATTCTTCTCTCTTGTCATTATTTTGATAAGTTTTACCGCAAAGAAGGATCCCTTGAACGAACGAGGGAACAGCTGAGGTTCAACCAAAAAGCACATTTCAATCTGTTGCAGAATTCAAAAAAAAAAACATGCAGGTGAGGGCAGACAAACACATGAGCCACAGTCAAAATGTGCTGTCCTAAAGGGCCCAATTCCCCGCCCCTTGACTTTCTCTAGAATGCTTGTATTCTAATCGAACATCACAGGCTCTGTTCCTTCTTGCCACTGATCCAGATCATGTTTTGCATTCCAATCCTGACATTCCTCTCTCCGGCTCATTGTTCCACAGTGCGAAGACTACGTATAAACTTCTGCGTAAACTACAAGCCACCAACCTGGAAAGCACATTCAGGCAACATCTGCATGACAGGACTCTTCCCTTTGAGGTCTTGATTTCATTTGCCACACTGCATGCTTCAATGTGAACAGCTCGTGACTCCAAGTGCGCCCCGAGTCCCCAAGCACCGATCGCAGCTCGCCTTTTTCGGCACTGCTTGCCGTTGCCGAGTCGGGCCGACAAGAAAGCTCAGCCGACTACAAGGCTGCATAAAAGCGCGCGCAAGTGCTTTTGCGCAACGGATTCCCGCAACCTCCAGTGGATTTCCATAAGAACGGGCTTAGACTTTTTCTTTCTTGGTCTCAAACAGACCCCTGGAAACCTGGGCAAGACTTCTAACCACAAAGGAGAAAAGGGGAGACACCCCACTGGCGCTTGGGGAAGCTAAGGCGGCGTTCCGTTTTTCGGCGCATCCGATCCGACTTTGTGGCCAGGCACTCAGATGAACTTCAGTGGGGCTTGGTAGCCGGCGAAGGGCGTCTCAGGGTTGCCGAGCCCTTGTTTAGACCCATTTGTTTGGTAAACGACTTGTCTTGGTTGCTGTTGACTCCTGCAAGAAGTTCAACTTGTTGTGGGTGCAATGGAACATCCTCTATTTCCCTAAAAGTTAAAGTGCAAAGATCCAACCACACAGCCATAAGGTTGTTCAAACCGATTTTAAACAACCATATTTCAACCCTTGCTGAAACGAACCTCCGTTCGGTAAAAGGTTGGACATCTAGTTGGACCGATGTAAATAGATTTTGCTGCAACAAGGGCACCAGTTGTCTTGCTGGTTCGATAGGCAGGGAATGAGAAATGAACCTCTATACAACCCACCCATCCATGGTTTTCCTCTTCTTCTTTTTTCCGGAAATCCCCCAAAACGGTTGGTTCCCAAGGCCCTTGTTGTCATTCCCTCTCGAGCACATTTCCCCGCTTCCCGCATTTCCCCGCCTCTGGCGCGGGGTAGAGCGGCGGAAAGTCATAGGCCACCGGAGGCAAAGGCCCGGTCCAGCCCGGCAGGTAGTCACCGATGTCCTGCACTCTCACACAAGACCTACCGTCTCCACTCAAACCCCAGAAGTCCATTGCTCATTCATGGGATCCCAACATAGGTGATTTCCTTTCCCCACATTGAGACAAGACCGGCCCTTTTGGGCCAGACACCCTCCGCTGACTGGAGGCCTTTTGTGGAAACAAAAACCCAAACCCACTTCCATGTTTGTTGGAAAGATGGTGGTGGCACATTGACTTAAGCGCGTGTTCTTCTAGGAATCGGTATCTTAAAATAGTTGTCCTTCTGGCCTCCCTTTAAATATCCACCCAAAGCAGGTTCACCAACTTAGAATGTCAATGAACTCAAACCACGTTGGATCCAATTTCATAAACTGTGATGGCTGCAAATCCAACGCTGACCCACGATTCCTCAACCGGCCGATTCACAGGAGGGTGCACCCTTAGACAAGATGCAAACATGTTTTGCGGAAGGTGCAGCTCCCTGCTCCGACAGCTCGGTTCATTCATCTGGGGCCAACAGTGAGATTCGTCTAGGTAGTTGAGTTGGCCAACGGGTCGCTCCCCCGCCGGTTGCCCTAAAATAAGAAAATCTGAGGAAACCAGGGCCTCCTCACCCAGTGTTCGGATGCGACTCCATTCGCCCCACTCGGGTTTCTGGTTCAAGATGGAAGGTCGGATCTCCTGCTCAGTTGCTCGTCCCCAAACATATCAGCCAATTAAGCAACACATGCATTTACAATCCAAGAGCAAACACATGACTCACAATCAAAACCCGGTACACAAATGGTCGACCCAAACCCATGTAGAGAATAAGAAGGCGGCCGCAGCTATTTATGGCTGGGATCGTCCCTCACTAACCTTCACGTACCCGGGTTTCGAGGCCGTGGCTCACATGTTCGTGGGAGAATGAGCACATTTTCCCAAGCCAACCTGTTCTGGTGGGATTCTCCAGGGGGAATCAGTTATGGCCGGGCCAAAGGTCCACAGGGCACCGGGGAGGTGGGGGGAAGGTGGGGGGAAGGCGTCCTGGCAGACCTGTGCCCCGAAGCACACGTTCACATTGCCGAAGTCGCCGAAGAGCAGATCCTTGCGCTCGGAAAAGCTCTTTGCGCGGCATTCTCGTGATGGAATGGGCCTTTGGGTTGCAACATTTGGACAGCCCAGGCTCCGCGTGACACCAGCCCAGCCCTCCATACATGATCTCCCTTGTCGGACAATTTCCTGGAATCCGAAGGGTCCCCTCTTTCTACACTCCCTTCCATCACTTCGAGGATAGGGATTTGCCTGGGATTCCACGATTTCCACATTGTTAGTCGAGTCCCCGGGTCGAGTTTACTAAGTTACCAGGACAACTATGTTCATGAATTGCTGGACATAATAATGACACACCTGGAGCCATGCTTTTCTGGAACCAGTTTTGCCACGTCGCTTTTGCCCTTTGAAGTCCAGCTCTCAGAATCCAGTGGATCCAAGTTGCCGCTCCAGGCAATAGAAAGCTGAAGCGCGGTTCCCTCGGCTACCTACTTTTTATAGGCAAATGAATCCGCAAAGCCCACACATCCCAGGGACTGAAAGGTATCGAATAGGTGTTTACACTCCAAAGAGTTTATTCCCTGAGAGCCTGCAACATAGAAGCTCAACTCCTCTCCCGTTCAGTCCCCAAAAGTGGAACAAACTGCGCAAACAGTCCCAAGGGTGTTAAATATGTGCCCAACAAATCAGAATGGGGCTAACACGTACTTTACTTTCACATGTCCGAGTCCTAAGAGCCTGCCCCTTAATTTTGCTTGGCTTAGATAAAACAAAAAAAAACGTGAGTAGGGGCCTGGGTGATGAGGCCGACGATGGCCATCATGGCCAACCTGCCGTTGTTCAACTCCTGGCACTCCGCCTTGCGGAACTGGTTCCAATAGTTGTCCTGGACCCAGCCGACAGCGGATCCATTGGAAACCCGCAAAAGTATGCAAAAGTTAGGTAAACACCCAGCAAACTCAAGGTCCAAACCATTGTTTTTTGTTTAAATGTTGTTCTTAATCACCAGAAGCGTCTTCCAACAAAGTCTAAAGTCCAGAAACTCGGAAAAGTGAGGGATGGCTGCGTGTCAACAACGGTAAGCGGCATTCACTCGAGCGAAGCCAAGCCATCTGCACAAGAATAGAAAGCAGAAAGAGGCATCTGCCTTGGGGAATCTTCCTGCCCACTTCCTTGATTGGAGGGTACATACTTCACTCACCAAACTTGAGGAATCCGCAAGAAAAAAGGGCCACCACGGGTAAGCTTGCTGTATTTCACGGGAGCTCAGCATCCAAACCGTTACCTCCAAAAATGGGCCCCAAGTCTCAATTCTGCCCTCGTGCTATTATTAGGCTACGGAGAGTAGGTGCGGTTTGTTGCCTATGCGCATAGGCGCCGCCCCCGAAGCTTCACCAACCTGAATTGAGTCATAGTCAAAACCCGGTATTCAAATGGTCGACCCAGAGCCAGATAAAGAAGTAAGCGGGCGGCCGCAGCTGATTATGGTTGGGATTGTCCCTTACTAACCTTCACTTACCCGGGTTTTGATTGTGACACAATTCAGGAATCCCTACGGGACATTACGGGGCCGAGAAAATGCTTGGATCGGTGCGGGGCCCGCTTTCTTGCGCGCCCCAACTGCGAAAAGGACCTGGAAATTGTCCGGTGAACCTTTTTGGGTTTCTTGGCCAATGGACACATTGGACACCAAAAGGCCTTAAATAAAGGTCTATTTGCCTTGGACGGCTGAGCCAAAATTCAATCCCTCTGACCCGCATTCCACTCCTCATCCTCCAGCAGGATGTCCGACCAGCCCAGCACGTCCCAAGGCTTGTCCTGATTTAACTGGTTGCACCAACCCTTAGGATCAGGATCTCAAAAAGAACGAGCCAAGGGAAACACACCCAAAGGCTAAAGTTTATTTTTTTGGGTTTGTTTCCCTTAGCTTGGTTAAACGGTTGAACCGCAATTTGGACACCTGAGTTGTTTGAACATGTTACCAACATCGTTTAACCAGCCACGTCTTGGTTCCCCTTTCAAGGCCACCAGAGGGTCTGCCCGTTTAAACACATTTTGCCCAATCCTGCCTTGGGGGGGGGGCACACGTAGGTGCCGACCCACTCCAGGCACATGATGAAGAACACCGTCTGCCACATGCCTGGCACGCTTCGATTTGCAAACACCTTCATGAGGACGAAATCCAGAAAAATCGCAGCACCGTACAGAAACCCTGGGTCTGATTCGATTCCCCTGCAAATATCAAAATGGTTTCCACCATGGTCTCAAAGTGGAAATGGCCCCGGCCAACCGCAACAAAAGGGGGACATGTAGGCATTTTTGTGAGTCACCAAGTGTGTCTGGGCAAGAGGACAGGATCTTTACAACAAACCGACTGATTTGTTTGCAGGCCCCTACTAAACATGAACAGAACCGACCAAAAACAAAACCTAAAAACCTGCCAACGGCGGAGGGATCATATTGGGTTTTCGGCTGCTTACAACAATTTCACAAGCTCAAAGGGTTTTGTGCAGGACCCTCATCTCACCCCAAAGGACCTGGAAACAGAATGTTCACCTAGCCCAGAACCCCTAGGTGATTTCCATAGGAACAAGGTTGGGCACTCTTGTTCTAAAGGGAGACTCCAAACAATGAGAAAGCAAGGCCGGCACTGGAGGTCTGGCCTAGAAATGGGACGTTCAGGTCAACAGGTCGCTTCAGTTTTGTGTGGAAGCCCCCCGCGAGCCGGAGACGAAGCCTCCCATGGGCAGCTGGGTGAGGCTGACCAGGGGGTTGTTGTCCAGGTACCTTGCGCTGGGTTGGTCCATGTTTTTCTCTTCGACTACGGGCTATAGTCATTGGGAGGGACGAGAAAGCTAACCGAAAGAACATGGGGCAATAAGTGGTTCCCCTTTTTGTGGGGAGCTTAGCGAATCCCCCAAGTCCCTCCCAAATGACCCATAGACTACCAGTATTTTTCTTCGAGCCTCATGTAGAAGTCTGACCCGAGTTGACTCGCCGATTCCAGGGACACAAATCAACTGATTGATCCCAAGGGGGAGGATCCCCGAAAGGAGATTCCTCTGAGAACGGAGTTTGTGACAGGATAATGGAATATGTCCTGCAAAATAGCAAAGAATCTTGTGACTCATATTATCAGGTCCACAACTCATAATAATCGTCGCAGGCCAGGGTCAACAACTTGAATCAGTGAAGGTTGAAACGGATCATTAAACAAACGCTTGCCAACAGGTAACATCGGCACCGAATCACTATAATCACACACACACACACATAAACCTGAAGCTGTTCAAATACGCCGCAATGAGTACAAACACCCACCTGCAATCCGATTCATAACCCTGAGTTTCGAACGCTCGAATTGGTGATCGAGGAGAAGGCCACTGTCACGAGTCAACAAAAACAACAAGATAAAAACCACGCCTTTGAATGTTCGGCTTGCTGTCTCTTGAGCCAGCCCATCTCCAAAAGGGGTCTGTGGCACCCAGTTGGGCGTTTCCCAATGCCAGAACCACCCCGTGCCGGCTGCTTTCAAAGGAACGCGCCGCACCCACCACAAGAAGCTCAACATGTCCCAAACGAAAACTCAGTCTTGCAAACGGTGTATATGGGTAAGGGTGTGTCTCAAAAATCGAGAACCCCCGAAGCGCTTGGGTTCTTTTTGGCTTCCCCTGCAAAACGACAAACAAGGCGCATCCGCAACGAAAGACGCATCCGCAACTAGCGTCGACAAGGGCTCACCCCAGAAAGCCCTTCGTTTTCTTCTAGACTAGGCCCTCCAGTAGGGAGGTTCGAATAAGGGTATCCTTTCTTCTGTAGTCTATTTTAGTTGGGGAACCCTCCCAACCAAAGAAGAAATGGTAAAATGGCACGATCCTGGGGGACCTAGCAGAGCAGGCCTCTTTTTAGTGGCTCTGAGGCGCGTCTGCGTGGCCAAGTCCCCGATGATGTGGAAGCCCGCCGCCACGTGGAACCAGCCTCCAAGGTTTTAAGGTGAGATGAATGGCCACACGCAAGACTTTGGATGCGGCTCCATCAAAATGGCTTAGATTTGGAGTTGGGGGGGCGTCTGGGGGATAGATCTGTGCTGGGGGCGTCTAGTTAAATCTTTTCTACCCATTAAATGTGGCTCAGATCTAACCTCCAAATGCTGGCTCAAAGGGAAACCTTCTGTTGGATTTCAAAGGGAAAGAGGCATGGGCCCCCCCCAACAAGACTTCCGCCTGTTGGAGGGGTCCAAATCCAACCCGTGGCCCCTGTGTGCGCCATTCGGCAACCCCAGTTCTGGTTTAAAAGGGATACCAAATACAACTTCTATTTGCTTAAGCGAAAAAATAACATATTTCCAGTAGTGAAATCGATTCCCTTTAAACAAGAGATGAACATATTAAGCAAATGGAGGACAACGATTTTGAGGGCGCCCTTCTGTTTTAAGACAAAGCAAAAGGACATGGTGCGCGACAGTAAACGCTGACCTCTGCCTCCATGTATGTCTCCTCAACATCCCCCCCCCCTCCACCTCCCCGATCCCGACAGGTGATGCGTAACCCCACGGAAAGCTAAGTATTCGGACCTCTGTCCAGTGCTTTGAACAAATGTTGCCCAATGTATCCCCGGCTTCATCCAATTCACCCAGGTACCCTTGCAAATATCACAAAACACTTGGCGGTGCTTTTTGTTGAGATACCCTTTTTCGCTTGGTGTTAAGGGAGCCAAAAGCAGAGCCGAAATGCATTTGGGGTCAGGTTGGTCATTACATGGAAGCCCAAAAGACGAGCCTCAGCCATTTCCTCCCTGTGGACTGGCCCCAAGACTCTAAGCTGACTGCTTGCACTGAAATAAGATGGTCTAACCTTTCTGCCACTTGATCCAGACCCAAGACCAGTTTGGACTCCAACTTGGGAAGCAACTTGGGAAGTGAGTCCCCCCACCCCCCCCCCACCTCTTCCCTCCCTCTCCCCCTCCCCCCCTCCCCCTCCCCCCGAGTCGGACACGCCATAAGCGAGCCGAGCCGAGGCGCCCAGCACCGCGAGCATGGCCACCCGCCCGTGCTTCAGCTCAATCGCGCGGAGCTCCAGGATCTCCTGGCCCGCACGCGCGGCTTGCGCTCAAGCGGCCACGTGGGCGGCAGATTTTTCCGTCTTCCCCCCTTGGTGGTTTGGAATTTATTTGTAATATTATAGCTTTTATTAAAAACATATGACATTTTGAGTGGTTTGGAGCTCGGCTTGGCTTTTGTAGAGGGTAGATCTTCTTGGTTTGGCCCCTTGGCAGTTCCTTAGAGGCTCGGGCATTTTGCCGCGCGCCAACGTTGGAGCCTGGCCGAAAAAAATGAAGAAAAAGACATGGGTCGGATTTCTCAAAGTCGACCAGACCAATCATGGGCGGTTTCCTTCTGGTGTCCCTTTAATCAAAGACCAAACAGAAGGTCCATGTTTTTTGAGAAGCCCCTTCGCTTTGGGACAATTCAAAACGCAAAGTCGCATCTGGAGGCACAGCACCTAAGCTGTCAGGTATAGGCTTTGAAGCGTTGGAACCTTGCGTTTGGCGGGTAGGACACCTGACCTGTTGATTGCTGCAACTTTATGTAGGTGCTTCGTGTTTGGAAGGACATCCGCAAAAGAAAGGGCAAGAGGGCAAAGTGAGTGTAGCGCGGCAAGGCGTGCGGTTGGGAGGTATGCAATTGTGAGTCTTCCACAAATCTGTACGATTCGGATGGTTCTTGTCAGAGCTCCCCCCTGTTGATGCTCATTTGGTACACTGCGCAGCTGGATGCACAAAAGGATTCGACAGCCAAAGCGACATGTTTCTGTTGCGTTGGTCTTGGGAGCATTTGCCAAGAGTATGACTTGACCATATTTGCCCGAGGTGTGGTTTCCAAGTGCTTGGCAAGCAAGCCTGTGGTAAGAGTGCATCTGTTTGTTTTTTCCCCCTCCTTTTTCCCCAAGTACGCATTGCCCCATGGTGTAACCCTGCCAGGAAAGCTGCCGAACACACTTCTCCCTTTGGAATCAGTCTGCAGCCCGACAAATGCCAAACAAAAGCAGCCGCGGAATGCTTGATTACACTCCCTCAGACTAACATGGAAGCTTTCAGAAGGCCTCTGCAAATGGAACCAAGCCTTCCAAAGGAGTCCCGGGAGCTTCCATATGTTACATAGGGGAGGGAAATTGGTGCTCATTCTCAGAGATGGTCTTTTGTGGGGAATTTGACAGGTGCCCCCGAGTCCACCCAAGATGAACCCAGCTATTGGAGATTTTGGCTGACCCTCGATTTTGTGGAACTGTAGTCATCGACTCGATGTTCGATTCGGCCGCAATCTCCTCCTTGCTCTTCTTGCTAGTGATGCCTGCAGGGCTCGCAGCAAGAAAGCCAGATGGCCTTGAACGTAGGCCTTGGGGCCAGATGTGTGTTTATTGCAGGGAAACCGCTACTTTTCGGGGTCCCCTATACCAAGACAAGCCCCATATTATGCCTCAAGCTTCCACACCAAAAGGAGGCGCAGGTTCCAAACGGATTCTCGTCAGCTGAGACGCGGTGGTTGGTTGAAAGAGGCAATATCTGATGCTGTCCATGGAGATGCCTCCCCAACATGAGAAACGTCCAAACCAGAACATGGGAATTTGAGGCCGGTTCGAAGAACGCATGCACGGTGAGTACCCAAAGGCTCAGGGCTCACGGAAAACTTCCGGCGCGCTTTTCTTTATGCAACAAGTTCAGAACTGTTGGCTTCCGACTTCACATACAATTCCTGCAAAAGTCAATATGCTTGAAGCAGCGTGCTCTTCTTTCTCCCACAAAACACAAAAGCTTCTGTTTTCAGCCAGACCACCATTCACTGAATTCTCCCCCAGCAAAAGGGACCCCCCCACTACGCCCTTTGATCTTCCAGGGTTCCCTCCAAGCTACCAGAGCGTAGGCAGTGTGCTCGTGGTCTGGATTGGTCCGAAGCTAAGATTGGTATTGCGTACCGGTGAATCTTCGGCTTTCGTTTGGATAGACTTTGGAGGGTTGCAGGTTTTCAGGGCCAAAGGAGAAGATGCAATGGTTGGTTTTGAGTGTCTGGATACGGGACTATTCCGATTTTGGCATGATTCCAAGGTGGTTTCAAAGGGAAACTAAAAGGACGACTCCCAAGAGTACCTGGATTTCTCACTTCCCTACTTTCCGCGCCCGAAACCTTCCGGAGTTCCCTAGCATTCAATCGACCTGCGCCCTTTCCCTTCTCCCTGGTTCCTCTCGTCTTCCACTCGCTTAAGCGCACCCAGCGCGTTCCGAGCCTGCGGGGTCCCAGAAGTTCTCCGGGAAGGGTCCGCCGGTGCCGGCGATGCTCTCCTCTCGATACCAGCTTCCCCCCGGCGGGGTTTATTTGAACCCCCGACCATAGGTGTCCTTTTAGGTTGGAAATAGATGGGTAACCAAACCACGAATCGCCATCTATTTTTCTACCAACACAACCAAAAAGAACACCTATGCCCCCGACCCCACTGTTGGTGAGGTGACCAAGGTTTGTGCAAACCTTTCTCCAAGCATGGAGGTGGACAGGGTTGCCCAACAGGAAAGGTAGCCAGTAGCTTTCGTAAACCCTACTACAAAAATCACACAAAAATCCCCAAAACCGAAAATTAATCAAAACACCAACTAACGATTTCCCTTGAAACGAAAAGACCACTCTTAAAAAATCCCAAAAGGGACATCACCCGCAAACCCTACCGTAACGAATCCCAACCGTTCGGACCAGAGTAATCGGGCGTAAGACTGCGAGACACGCTGATCTTTTGGTTGTAAGGGGCTTCTTTCCGTTTAGTTTCCTGTCAAAACGGCTCCAAAACAAGGATCCGCAAGAATTTGAGCGCCAAACGATATCTGCAAAGGGACAACAATTCAAGCTGGGAAACCTACATCACTTCGCTCGTTTTACGGCGAGCTCGCCGAATAAGCTGACATATATTTCCACTTATGGCTTTGGTCCCAGCCATCACCTCCAGAGGGTTTGGTCTAAAAGCTCGCCAGTGTTGCTTCGGCGCTTCACGAAAAAAACATATCTGCATAAAATCACATGGAACTTTTGCGGTGTTGGAGGTCCTTGCCTGAAATCGGAGGTTGCATGAGTTGCATGTGTGCTGTTGGCTTTCCCCGCAGCGTTCCCTGTATATCATCTTTAAACATTGTACCACCAAGAGGACATGACGTGCTGCAACTCTTGCTATGCCCTCCTGGCCAAACAAATTCACTTGCGGGTTGGTGGGCAAATCATCACTTTCCCAAGAAGTTGAAGGTTAAAAAATACCCCCTCAGAGCATTCAAGAGAAGGTGATACTTGAACCAAACCTCCATTTGCCTCAGCCCCCTGAACAAAAGTCAAACAACAACAACAACAACATATTTCCAAGAGTGATGGATTCCGTTTAAACCAACTTCAGCACCCCCCGCCGGTCTCGCAACGGTCCTGTGCCGGGGTCAAGGCCCGCAGGGGGGAGTCCGTATAGAGGGCCCAGTCGCCCCACGCCGAGCCGGTGAGTCCGTCTTGGAAGAACATGCCGATGATGGCCTGTTAGAGTCTGGGGTTGAGGTCTGGGGCTTAGGTGGACGGGTTGTGGGGTTGAGGGTGTGGGGTGTACCAAGGGCATCCAGTTTTTGCTGGGACCCCCACCCCCAAACATTGCCTCCGGGCAACCAGGCCCCCCAAGACAAACATCTAGTCCCTAATCCCGCAACATCCCGCAACGACCATACCCCGGCAAAAAGAAGCGCCAAATAAGGACGCAAACAGGACACCTTGAAAGGTTTCAGCAGCAGACTCGAGACACCTGCTCGAATTCCGCCTGTGTGGTAATCTGCTAGTACTCTTTGTGTATGTTTGCAGGGCTGGCTCCACAAAAGTCCAAAACCCTGCACTGGACAGAGTCCTAGATACTCCTTGAGGGCAGCCCCCGCGTGGGGTAAATCGTCCCGGGAGAAGGTGGCTCCTAGCTCTGTCTAGGGATACACACCCACTTGCGGCCAACTATCATCAGGCCATTCAGCCGGGGTGAGTCTAGTGTCTAAGCATTCAACGCACAAGCATTGGTGTTGTTAAACACCACCCCACACACACAAAAGCAACCAGGGCCCGTTTTGAAACGACTGGTGACAAATGAGTCCAACAAAGCAAAGACTCTTCTAAGAGCAGGCACCTTGGGGTGTTAACCAGCAACCGAGAGATCGTTGAAGCCCGTCTCCCGTCTGACCAGTAGACAAAAACCATTTTGGGCTTGACCAGGTTTAAAGGGGAACCCACCGAAGGGAAACAGCTCGACAGATTTGGCCAAGCAGCTGCTACTTGTACGCTCTGGCCGGTGAATTTGTGCTTCACAATGGCTCAGAAGGGAAGCTGAATCTTGTTGTCAGCAGCAAAACCAGCCAACAGCCAGCTTTTTACCTTTCTACTAGACCCATGATCACTTCCGACAGTGGATTGGCGTGGATTTTGTCCATCCACCATATGGCAGTGGGTCCAACATATGTACCCAAATGGGAACCCTGGTAAATGGAAACATGGGTTGAACCTGCGGTCCCATGGCGGTTTAATTTTGACCCGCAGCCATATGCCGTCACCCCCTTCTGAAGGGAAGTTTTGAAGGGTTAACAACGTCGAGACGGAGCCGTTGCGCCCTGCAACTCGCAGGGTTTGTAGCGGGGCTCCTCATGTCCTCTTCGAGCATCACCTAAAAGGGAACCTGAATCACACAATAAACAAACAAAGGGAAACTCCTCTTCAAATGTCCAATGGGAGGTTGGCTGATTTCCGAACCACCATTACGAGCTGGCAGCTCCCTGCAAGTTTTGGTTTTTGTCAGGACATCAAACTATAACGACGACAAAAAGTCTGCCGCATCTTTAACAAGGCTCTTTCTAAATGTATGGGGCATGGTGCTCTATGAATTTGCTGTCCCCCCTTTTCTCAAGGGTGGGGATATTAAGCATGTTGGCGGAACATGACCCCCTTTCTATGATACCGTTTCGTGAGTGCACTGAATTGACACTATACTTACTTGATGCTCCCCTGCAATTCAACCTGGAACCCAGAGAACCTTTATTTGTAGAGGACCAGCGGCCTGGAAAAACGAGGGCATCCTTTTTTGGTTGCTTGAGCCTGGAAAAACGAGGGCATCCTTTTTTGGTTACTTGAGTTTCAGGGGGACACCCTTCCCCAAAAAGAAGGCACAAAGAGCCGAATCCACTGGGCAACTGGGATAAGTATCACAGGCAATCTTAAACTAGGTCCTCCAGTAGAGAGGTTAGAATGGGGCACTCTTTTTTCTGTATATAGTCTATTTTGGGTAACCCTCCCCCAAAAAAGAAATGGTAAAAGGGCACGATCCTGGGGGACCTAGTAAAGCAGCGACGTCGTTCGTCCGCGCCATCATCGCCAACCGCCCGTTCGCAATCTCCGCTGCAAGCTTCTTCTCCTGCACGCTCACAACGGCCCAGTTGAGCGACCAAAGCCCAACGCTTGGATCAGCCAAGGTGGATCCAATAGAAGTATTTCAGCTTTTGAAACCAAATCCGCATGTGTTTGAGTGTGATTCATATTTTGTGAACCTTTAAAACTAAATCCGTTTCAAACAGGATCCCAAACATGTTGGGTGAAGTATGAAAATTCAACTGGATTCGACCAGGGACACAATATGTGCCCTCCCTAATGAGAAGATTCCTCTGGTTCATTATTGCATAATGGCATAGTGCTAGTTTGAGTATTGGCATATTAGGGGTCTGGGAAGTTGTATAATATAGTATCAATGTCAAAACTCATTCCAACACCCGAACAAGGGGATTTTGCAGGTAAAGGACCTGCAAGGTGAGTCTGTCTTACCCCCGAATCGGTGAGCTGCTCGGTGAGCTCGTTGCGGTTTGCCCAGATTGATGGGATCTATTCCTACGAAACCCGCGAAATGACGCGGGACTGGCAGAACCCTGCGGCCCGCAATCCGCTCGTTTGGCATTTCAGTCCACGGGCGTAGGGGGATGGGACTCGACAGAAAGAATCAAGGCAACAGACTGACAGAGACCAACGAAGACGTGAGTATCCAGGCCCAGCGGCCACGGCAAAAACAGGGGCGCCCTCATTTGTTGTTTGATTTTGAAGAGCCACCCAGGGAGAAGAGGAGCAAAAAGGGTCCGGCCGCTGGGATTCCAATGGACCCTTTGGTGGACATTGGGAATTGAAGCGACCGCCCTTTGAAGGTGCTTCAAACATTACTGTCTGTTTGCGTGTCAACCCAAGTGGCCATTTGTGTTTCATATTCTGTTTGCAACAGCAGCTGCTTGATACCTGTTTCAGATGAATGGTCTTATCAACTATCTGATCCCACCTTTTCCGCCTTGGGGTTTTTGATGGTCACAAACTCTTAGGAAGCTTGGACAACCATCACCAACTCGTTTGTTTACCTCGAAAGCTTCAGTAAACCCAACTGAGCTATTCCAAATGATTCGAATGTCATTTAGGGTCCTTGGTATCATAGAAAGTAACCCCAAACCTTATGCCCAAACCCTGTCAAACAAGGAAGCAACTACTTTAAATGCAGTATCCAAACAACTCTCAATACGTATCTAACCCCCGAAGTGCCTGCTTATCAACCCAACCCCAACCCAAGTGGTCAACGGTCCACCCTCAAACCTGTGATTTAGTCTTCTGTTCTTTGTTCAGTTTAATAAAGGGCCTGTTCTTTTTCTTACAAACTCAGTTTGTCAATAGACCTGGAAATAAAAGGGGAAAGCCATAATGTCATTTCTGGTCGACTTGTTCTGCACAATTATGCTTAGTGCACATCTACCCCCGAACTTCCTTGTGAACAAACCCAACCAAACCATGTCAACCCAACCCAACTAGAGAGTGGTTCATGTGACCGTGGGTCAAGAGTAGGCACCCAAATGGAACCCTGGTAAGTGGACACATGGAAACCCCGCGGCTTGGCTCAAATCGAGTCCGAGGCCGAGTCGCCATGTCAACCCAACCCACCTAGAGTCTGCGTTTCAGGAAACCCAACGAGTTCCGCTTCTCAAACGGCGCTCAACCCAACCCAACCCAACTGGAGTCTGTGTTTCAGGAAACCCAACGAGTTCCGCTTCTCAAACGGCGCTCAACCCAACCCAACCCAACTGGAGTCTGTGTTTCAGGAAACCCAACGAGTTCCGCTTCTCACACGGCGCTCAACCCAACCCAACCCAACTGGAGTCTGCGTTTCAGGAAACCCAACGAGTTCCGCTTCTCACACGGCGCTCAACCCAACCCAACCCAACTGGAGTCTGCGTTTCAGGAAACCCAACGAGTTCCGCTTCTCAAACGGCGCTCAACCCAACCCAACCCAACTGGAGTCTGTGTTTCAGGAAACCCAACGAGTTCCGCTTCTCAAACGGCGCTCAACCCAACCCAACCCAACTGGAGTCTGTGTTTCAGGAAACCCAACGAGTTCCGCTTCTCAAACGGCGCTCAACCCAACCCAACCCAACTGGAGTCTGTGTTTCAGGAAACCCAACGAGTTCCGCTTCTCAAACGGCGCTCAACCCAACCCAACCCAACTGGAGTCTGTGTTTCAGGAAACCCAACGAGTTCCGCTTCTCAACCGGCGCTCAACCCAACCCAACCCAACTGGAGTCTGTGTTTCAGGAAACCCAACGAGTTCCGCTTCTCAAACGGCGCTCAACCCAACCCAACTGGAGTCTGTGTTTCAGGAAACCCAACGAGTTCCGCTTCTCAAACGGAACCCAACCCAACCCAACTGGAGTCTGTGTTTCAGGAAACCCAACGAGTTCCGCTTCTCAAACGGCGCTCAACCCAACCCAACCCAACTGGAGTCTGCGTTTCAGGAAACCCAACGAGTTCCGCTTCTCAAACGGCGCTCAACCCAACCCAACCCAACTGGAGTCTGTGTTTCAGGAAACCCAACGTCAAACCTTGCGGCGCGGAAGCTTCGAGCCGGGCTCCTTTGTGCCTGCCGGAGCCTTCAGGAAGCCATTGGGCACCCCCAGGAAGCCCGCGTTCTCGAAGTCCCCAGGGGGCCTGAGCGGGATTTCGACTCAGAAGGCACGAAGGCGTGCATTTTTCATTGGAGACCCGTGGGCCATGTTGGGGGAAAAAGACCCACACAAACCCCCAACCCCCAACCCCCAAACCCCCCAACCCCAAACGCCCCCCAACCCGCCAACCCGAAGCCACCCCGGCTCCGATCCGCCTCTTGGGGTCGTCGTTGTATTGGAAGAGCTCCACCGACCCGGCGAAGGCCACCATCTGGGCCCAGCCGCTCAGCGGCACCTGAAAGGTGGGGGGGTGGGGTGGGGGGTGGGGGGTGGGGGTGGGGGGGTGGGGGGGTGGGGGAAGGTGGTGTAGCGATGTTTGATGGGGGATGATCTGGGTGTAGTGTGGCTTGGTGGGGGGTTTAATGGAGCTTAGAAGTTTAGCGGGGGTTGGTGAGGTGTTGCGGGGGGGTCGACGGGGGAAGGGGGCCCTCCGTTTTTTGTCATTGAAACAACCAAACAAGAGGAATCTCGACTCATGTGAGCCATGGTCACAACTCCGGGTTCCATTGCCAACATCAGGGTCCCCTCGTCCATGATCCCGACTTCAGGGACCCCTCCCAAACCAGAGCCATGTTGGCTCCCGCGAAACTTCTAGCCGAAAAAGTCACCCCCAACATGTCCTCAACCAAACAAACTGTACAATCCTCAGATAGCGGGCATCAGGCTTGAGTAACGACCCCGGTCCCAGCCGGGGTGAATGGAGGCGGCCAACCGATAGAATCACAGCCCACATGTTGGGAGTATGAGCAGCATGGGCCCCTTTGACCAATCCTCAGTCCAAAATCCGGGTATCCCCGTCCGTCTAGGGCGTCCCTCAAAATGGCTCCTACACCGTGTGCTTCCCTTTAGCAAGCTTGCTGGTAATGAGAGAAAGACCGCTTTTTAACCATCCCCACTGGTTTCATTTAAGGGAATCCCTGGGCTCATTCCCTCATTCCCTACCTATCGCACCAAGAAAGACATCGAGCGCGCCTTGCTGAAGGCTGCAAAGCCAGTGGGCACGTCCGAGAACTTGAGTCCCAGGGATGGGGACAGATCTCCCGGCCACCGGTAGTACTCCGGCACAATGTAGCCTTTAAAAACAAAAAGCAGGGCCGACTATTTCTAAGCAAGCTTACCTATAAAGGACACCTATGGTTACAAACACTGGCCTCATTATGGCAAAAAGTCACCCCCTAAGTGGTGGGTGAAAGGGAAACAATCCCATTTTCTGACTTTGCTAACCTCCAGAAACAATCAACACAATGACCCCAGAAACACACGTATGCTTTCCTTGGGGACTCGATGGCGGTCATCATTTACTCACTTGCCCAAAAGACCTGGAAATAAAAGGTTAACCTTTTGGGACCTTTGCTAAAAATGGGCCAAAATTGGAAAACCAAAAGGTCCAAAGGTCGATTCACTTTGGGCACGTGAGTTTACATGGGCCTTTCCAACATGTGGAAACATCATGGCGGCTTCCTGAGGATCCTCAGGCATCGCTATCCCACAGAGCCAGGCAACCGACGGCTGTCCGAGTCAACCCGAGTGGATGGTCCAAAAAAGTCCGAACTGTGCATTTACCACTCAAATGGGCTTCCCGAAAAGTTTAAAGTGAATGAACTCAGGAAATGAGATAATCTTCCGTTTCGGATTTGTAGGACATTCATGCCTTATATTTTGTATAGGAAACCGTAAACATAAGCATCGTTGATGTATGAGCGCCCATCAACTGCTATTTCATGTGATCAATAGCAACTTTAAGCAGGAATCGGTTTTAGGCATCACCTCCCAGTTTCTGGCATCTTTGCCGTCCGCCCCAAAAACTCGCAATTTGAGGTCAGTCTTTCTTCAAGGGTATCCTTCGGGGTGCTTCAGAAGGGACACCGTAGAGAAGCAACCCTCCCATCTTGAGGCTTCCCCCATAGGACGCAGCAAGCCTCCCTACGGAACTGAGTTTGCCAGAATTCTGTTTGCTCAGGCAGAGGGATCATAGACTACTTGTTTGACCCAATCTCAGCATGGGACATTTCGGCTTCCCTTTGGAGGCCGGTTAGGTTTTCCATTTGCATGCAAGAACCATCTCCCCTCAGGAACCCAAACCACCAATTGAGCTTACCTGAGTCGCAATCAATACCTGGTACTAAAATGGTCTACCCAGAACCACGTACAGGATTAAGAAGGCGGCGGCAGCTATTTATGGTTGGGATCGTCCCGTACTAACCTTCATCTACCCGGGCTTTGATTGTGGCACACCTGAAATTACTGAGTCCTCAGTACTCGTGGGACGTGTACAGCTCGTCCCCACGAAAACTCGGTCCTCTGAAATGCAGAGCCCAATCTCGAAGTTTCGAGCGAGCTGACTCACTTTCTGCGTTCGGCCTTGCATGTTCTCCCAGGCTTTTGTCTTTTTGAGGGTCTCCTTTGTAGTTTTAAAGGGAACCGAAAAGGAGAACCACCCTGTTTGGGGGGTCCGATTCCTAAACCAAATATACTCACCCAACTAGTAGGTCCATATGAGAACCTTCCGTTTGCTCATTTGCTCGTTGCTTTGTGGCAAAATAGATACCCTCTACTCATTTGCGCATCCCCAAACACCAGCCGGTAAAACTGGATTTCAAAGTGAACTCTTGCCATTTCCTTAAAACCCGACTCACCCAAATGGAAAGCGACTCGCTCCATTTCCTCAAAAGAACAAATCGACTCACCCAACTGGCTTGCTGCGATTTTCAGCATAAAAATAAATTAAGTGGTCGACATGGGGAACATCATGGAGCCAACTGGTCTTCAAAGTGAACTCGTGGCATGTCGTTTGCGGCGGAGGGGCCGAGGCAGGCGAACATGGCCACCCGCCCGTGCTTCAGCTCCACGTAGCGGCGTCGCCGGAAGGAGGCCGCGTCCCCGCCGGCGGTAAAGCCCAAGGGGTCCCAAAAGCCCACCGGAGGCCTCGGAAAAAACGCGGGAAAAAATGGGCGAACCGGGGGGATGGTTCTCAAGTCCAGCGAGCCAAAACGATGGCCATGGGGGAAGAAAGGGATTCTCGTGGTATTTGGCTTGGAAACAAACTTATACTGGTTGATCTCGGTATGTTTTAATAAATCCCCAAGTGGAAATAAGACTGGATGAGCACTTCAAAAAACGATAGATAGGGATCAACAAACGCAGATTGGATTTGACTGAATCACAAAGGTGGTAAACATGGAATAACATGGATGTCTGTGCTCTGGTTCTGTATAATATCTACCAACTGCTCTAATGGAGGATGGACACTTACAACCAGGGTAAACCGATTTCGACCTCTGGGGATTGAGTGAAACAACTTAGCAGCTGGAAACAACATTTGATGACGGACATCAAGCATACAGTAGATTTCTAGGCGGTTACTTAGCAAACCACTGGGATATGACTTGCTACCGGATGCGGATGCTGGGCATACTAATTATCTGCCCTGCTCAGAGGTGAATATAAATTGGGGCCTGGGTGGACATCTTGTTGCTGATGGGTATTTTGCACCAACCATTCTAAATCGTGGTCCCCATGTAACCTTGTGGCCCAATACGCGGAGATAACTCAGTACACCACAAGCTGTGGACAATCTGAATTCCCCGACTGAAAAGAAGGAGAGGAACACGCCCAGTACTCGCCCCCCCCTCCCAGGCGGGCTGTCAGAGCTGGCCCCGGCTGATCCAGAATTACTCACTAGATGCGGCGTGGTATCTGCCGCCTTTTGATTCAGTAGATACAATCAAACATATGGGTAATCTCAGTGAAGCCCCCTTGGTGGATCGGACTTGGGATAAGTAGGTTACCCACCACTCATGCTGATTCCACGGGATCTTCGGGGATTGCCTTGCTTTCACAACTTGGACGCCATCACAAGAAATTGGCCTCCATCGCAAGAAATCAAAGCTGGAAAGTCTGAAAGTTTGGTCGCATTGAAAAACCAGCTGACCTCCCAAGCAATTCTCTGGGCCCTTATGTTAACCAAGGAAACCCCAAAGTTTGGCAATGAGAAGCGGCATTTGCAATTCCCTGGTGAATTAATAGTACGGCTGCCCCCTGGTTTATCACTGGAGGGCAACATCTTCACATCCAGGGTCAACAGTGCTTCCAGCTTCTCTCACTTGAGTGGATTGGCCACAAGAAGTGAACGAACTGTTGGTTCGCCATGAGCAATTGGTCCCAAAAGTGACTCAAGTCCAGGAACGCAGGGAGTGAGTCTCAATGTCGACCCAATATTCACTACCCCCGGTGTATTCATAGGGGATTGTCCCGTGAAATGTGGGGAATCAGCCCACTTCTGGAGGGGCCAACACCCCCCTGTTCATAAACTCAGCTTTCAGCTTCCCCCTAGGCTGCCCATAAACCCTCCAAAAGAACGCGGGGTAATCCGAATCCAGTTCCCACCCATCCAAAGAACCAATTAGAGGGTTACCTGATAAACTGGGGTTGGTTCATACTGCGGATGGTTGCGAAATCCATTTCGTACCACCTTAGAAACCCTGGTTTCCGATAATTCCCTGCAAATACCAACAAACGTTATGGTTTTGGTTTCAACCATAGTTTCTTAGGTGGTGTGAACGGATTTCGCCACCATCCACAGTTTTTGTTTCAACCCCAGCTTCTTGAATATGGAACGCTCCCCGTCAAAAGTGGTGAATCCCCACTAAAACCAGGGACACCCCCAGATGGGGTCACCCTCAAAGTTGACCCAGGATTAATAAGCCCGTCCCACTAGTAGAGGGTGTTCCCTCCAAAAGTGATGAATCCCCCCTAAAAGGGGACCCCCCCTATTAATCAACCAGGGGTTCTGCTTAATCCGCGGTCACTCTTTTCCCAAGAACGGGGGCTCGCCCCTCGCATTTTTCCACGCCGAAGGCGCTGCACGCCCAGCTCCTTCTCGAAGGCGGAGCTGCCGGCGTAGAGCCCGTAAGGGGTGCCGAAGAGCCCGTCCTGCGAAACTGGAAAAACACAAAACTACTGTGGATGGACGAAATCCGTTTCGCACCACCGTTCAGAAACCCTTGAACGGTGATTCGCCTGTAAATACTAGTAAACAGTGGCTTCAACCATGGTTTTCATCCACAGCAGGTCCTCCAGTAGAGAGGCGAGAATAAGGGTACCCTTCTTTTCGGTAGTCTATTGTAGTAGGGGAACCCTCGCCCAAAAAAGGATGAAAGGGCGCTACTGGGGGACCTAGAAAACGACCGCGACCCGAGAAACAGATTTGTGTGTGTGTGTGCTGTGTGTGTGTGTGTGTCAAACTGAGTGGTTTTCCTTTGGTTTTTTTGGCCCTTTATACCAACATTCGGGCGTGTTTGGTTTAGAGGGATACCAAAGGGAAACCCACTACTTGGTCCAAGTAGGGCCGCTGCCACTTTTGCTGCCCGGATTCGAAATGGCTCCACCCTGAGACCTCAGTTTCTGATGGCTTCTCTAACGAGCCGACCGCACACCGATGTTGAAACCGACAAGGCCAGCATGTGGCTTCTGGCTTCTGTCTTCCGCGACCCCAAGCAGAAGCATGGTCCAAAAGGTCGCCTCCCAACCCGAGGCCAGGGAAACCAAGATGTCCCAGACCTCCGATCAATTTCCACTTGAAAAGAAGGGCACCAGCTTCTGCCCAATATGCCTGTGGGTCAACACCCAGGAAACCCCTGGTGAACATCAAAATAGGTGCTACATGGGTGTTCATCCGCCCCAAAATGGACGCATAGGTTCTGAACCATGGTCATATCTCCAAAGAAAGCTCCCACAGAGGAACAGGCAGAGGTCTGGGCCATCGGACCGCACCGGAAACGAAGACGGGACTCGAAGGGATTCTCCGGATTTTGATTCAGCCTGTGGCACCCTCCAAACAGCTAGACAAATACTAGAAAAACCAGCACTACGGCAGCACACCAATTCTAAGTCACGACTAAACCAGCACTACGGCAGCACTAAACCAATAGAAAGTAAAGCAGATCATCAGGAGGAAACTCATCCGGGCATGAATTTTGACTAGGGATCCTATGGACATCAGCTAGGTCGAAGAAATATGCCCAACCATTTTGGAGCTGGCTCCCAGCTAAAAGTAGCCCAAAAGGGTGATCTCCAAACCTGAAGAGGCGATGAAACAAAATTCTAGGGGTTGATTCCCCATTCTTTTCAAGCATCCTTCTTTTCAAAAACCGGCCATTTTGCCTGGGATTCCGGAGAAAGGGGATGGCACCCCTAGAAAACCGTGCCCTGGGGGCTCTCGGCTCCTGCACCCAGAGTCCCATGATGGCCATCATCGCCAGCCGGCCGTTGGCCAACTCCTTGGCAAACGAACCCCTTTGAAGCCCGAACTGGCTGGTCCATGGACACATGCCGTTTGCTTGCTTGCTCGTTGCTTTGTGGTAAAATAGATATCCGACTCCTGCTCATTTGCTAGTCCCCAAACAGCAGCTAGCTAAATGATTAGAATGGGCGTATGGGGCACCGTAACACTAAATTGAGTCGTAGACACGGGGAACGTTATGCTAGTATTTGTTCAGACCCTTGTATGAGTACTGTGGCTTGACGAAATCCACTTCGCGCCAGTTGGCAGGCGGGTTGTCCTTTCATAGATATTGCTAGGGTGTCATCCAAAACATCTGGTGTATCCGCAGCATGCTAATTCAGAGCCAATCTTTCGAATCTCTGTGGCCCACCTAAAACTGGGCCAGACGGATTCGAACCCGGTACAAGGCAACCCCTTGTTGCTGCTTTAAAGGGAACATGAACCAAAACTCGAAAGGGACGCCCCAAACGAATCGTTACAACAACAGTGTTGATTTCGTTGTTTCAAATCAACCTCAACTTTTGCCAACCTTTCTTTGTGCACCTTATTGTGTAAATTGTTGTCAACAAAGGTCGGGTAGCCCTCCTGGTTGGTGGGCATTCAAGGAAAACATGTACAACCAACATAAAGGCAGAACATGTTCGGCGTTGATGCCAGCAACAAAGGAAATGGCACCCAAAAAGAGGAAACCACTTTCTCATGTCAGTGTTCGTTGCTATTCAATGGAAACCCACGAACACAAACACATTTTGATCGGAAAGGTTGGTTTGCTGACTGTTTTACAAGGCGCCCAACCACATGAGAAACTGGAGTGCAGTGTGAGCAACACACCGGTGGACAGCCCGCAAAGAATCAACTGCGAAACGAGTTGATCGGAGAAAACATGGGCAACACATGGGACACCCCGAGAACCAATGTCCGTCAAAACGCCCCCAATATCCCAAAGGAGGTCGCTGAACAAACAGTTTGATAGCCCGTTCTGGAGTGCTGAGCAGATCCCCGAAAAAAGCCTTGGCCCCATCAATTCCCCCCCCCCCCAAAAAAAAAAAAACGGGAGATCCGAATGGCCGTTCCGCTGATTTTATGAACAGGTTCTGTGGTAGACGCTGCATGAAATACTTACAATCCCCGCAGCACAGAGAGTGATCCTGAATTTTCGTGGTTTGCCATCGGAGAAAACGACAGCACCGCCAGGGAATTACCTCTCGATGGGAAAAAGGGTGGCATCTGGCAGTTCAATTCTTTTCTAGAAACCCAAAAGGGTACCAACGGACCCTCAGCCGCCAGCTCCCCCGCGATCCGGATCCCCCGCTTCTTTCACCGCACGACTCTGAGCTGGCTTGGTTGACGTTGGAAGGGGAGCAAACAATTAAATTTTGGCAGTTAAGTGGGGATTTCCCACTAAACCACAATAAGCAAACATGTAAAATGCTTCCCAACAACAACAATGCTGAAGCAAGGCGCCGAGTTGAGGCCCCGCTTGCGGGCCTCCGGGTCGCTGATGGACTCCGCGGTGATGCCCAGCACCATGTTCCCGTAGCCCAGCTTGCCCTTGCCTCGCGAGAGCGAAGTGGCAAAAGGAAACCGCAAGGAAGGGAAAGGCCGAACCAGCATACATGTTTGACAGCCACACCAGAACCAGCAACTATGTTTGGGCACCCACAAGCAAACACGCAAACAACAACGCATAAACCAACACACAAAGACACGCGATGAGCTGGGAACAATTCAGGAATACCACCCTTCCAACAAACAATAAGAAGAAGCACAACAAAAGCAACTCACACGAAAACACATCCTCACCATCCAATGACCATTTACCCTCCTCAATCACCATCCTCCATCTCAAGAGTTACTTGGATCCGGGACAAAACAAACACCAACACCCCGCCCTGATGCAAAGCAAGACCGGAAATCTCCAAAAAAACACGAGCAACAGGCCAACAGCAACCGCGCATCCGAAACGAAAGCGGCCCCGCCGTAGTTCCCGGGGTCTGCGGCATCCACGGGCTGGTTCACGCAGAGCTCGTAGCAGCCGCAGAGTGCCACCCACTGAAGCCAGCCCTCAGCAGGCACCTGCAAGGGGGTGAGCTTTGGGTTTCCAGGTGGGTGGGTGGGTGGGTGGCCTTGGTTTTCCTTTGGACTTCCCCTAAACAAATCGCACAAAACACGGTTCTCAACATACTGTGGATGCACGAAAACCATTTCGCACCACCGTCCAGAACCCTGGTTTCTGATGATTCCCCTGTAGATACCAACAAACGTTCTGGCTTTTCTCGGTGGTGCCGAACGGATTTCGCCAATCCACAGTAGGGGAACCCCAAACTGGCCCCGGTGTGCCTTTCGACTTCCCCAGAAAACACCACCCAAACAGGGTTCCCCCAAACAAAAGACACCCACCCTCCTCTGGCTCCAGCCGCTATTTGGCCTCCCGGATTTCGCCAGGCCTATCAACGAACGAAGAACAGAGAGGTAAACTTGAGGGCATGGTTCACAAGGCTCATTCCCTCATTCCCTCATTACCAATAGACACAATTGGAAGTCTGCGAAAGGGCCGACATGTTGCTCTGCAAATTTGAATCACCAAGCAAAGGACCTACATCACTGCTTTTTCGCTCGTTTTCCCCCGCAAATCGGTGGGAAGCTCTGCAACACATCGGCAAGGGGGGGAAGGTTCCCGGCCACCCTTTGGAGGAACCTCTGGTTTGGTAGCTGATTTGAAAGGGTAACCCTCTTCGAACACAACAACCAAGGACCCCGCAAAATGGGTTGTGTCCTTTGGTTTCCATTAAAACAGGGATCCTTACATTGTACACCTGAACATTGCCTTGTCAATGGTGGTTTCCCCTTATTTTGGTGTTGAAAAAGCCACATGTTTGAAATGGTGGCAAAATGGCTGTGGGTCGAAACCAATGGTACCATATTGGGGTGGGTGGACCACCCATTTTAGAATCTGTTTTAGTGGGGATTGGGATATTCACTGGGGGTACGATTTGGATTTTGACCCATGGCCAAAAGTATCTTTTCTGAACATTGCCTTGTCAATGGTGGTTTCCCCTTATTTTGGTGTGGAAAAAGCCACATGTTTCACATGGTTGCAAAACATGTATCTTTTTTCGGTCGCTTTCTGCTCCTGCTAAAAGTTTAACTTTTAGTGGTTTAGTGGAAAACCCATTAGTTGGCAAACAGTTAAGGTCCTAACAGCCAAGCAAAATGCACCAAAGTTTTAAGGAGCCCTCTTAACACCACCACCGCTTTTGGGGCCCACAAGCTCTCGCTGCGCTCCCTGCCTTCGTGATGGCCTGGATGCCGTTGGGCACGTCCGCGAACTTCAGAGAGGCGGAGGGGGCCAGGTAACCGGGGAACTTGAAGTACTCCGGCACCATGTAGCCTGCTTTGACGTTGGGTTTGGGGAGCAAAAAAAAAAGAAAAATTGTTGGCAGTTTTAGTGGTTGGATTTCAACCACTAATCCACAAGAAGCAAAAAGCATAATGTTTCCCAACAACAACCATGCCTGGAGGTCTCAAGAATACAACAAATAGAATGGCTGGTTTAACCTTTTGGTTGAAGAGCCTGGTCTCAAGAATACCAACAAATCGAAGTCTAAGGCTTGATTCCTTCTCCATTCTTTCCATCGTTCTTTTCGAAAACCGGATCCGTTTCCCTGGGTTGCCGGAGGATTTCTAGAAAGAAGGATCCCTGGAACAAATTGGGGAAGGTAGCACTAGAATAATGGGTGGTTTAACCTTTTGGTTGAAGACAAGCAAAAAGGCTACCATAAAAACAACACAAAAACAAACTCATGCTTCCACTTACCGGGAGTGAGGGCCTCGGAAATGACATGAATTTGCTTTTGCCCAGCAAGGGAAGCCATATCATGTGAAATGCACCATGTAGCCTTTGGCAGCTTGAGGATTTCTACCAGAAAAAGGTCGATCCCCAAATCAAAGGACACCTGGGCGCCCTTTTCAGCTCTGCTTTCAGCACCAACCCTATTCGCTGGGCCAAACTTGTTGACTGCGTGCTCATTGAAAGGATAATTGAAGGAACACCAAAAAGGCAACCGGTGAAAAGATCGGACGCCAAGGCTGGCAATGCTGGGTGGACAAATATACCATCGGTGTTTGGGTCTAGCTTCATTTTTGCGGCGTCAAACACCTTGGTTGCAACTGTCAAGTAGTTCTGCTTTTGTTGAACCTTCCTTGGCTGAGCTTCCATATTATGATAGGCATGGGCTCATTGAACATCATGCAATCGACTACCAGTGATCTTGGCAGCTGCTCCGTTTTTCGTTGTAGTCTTACAATGGCAGACTCCCTGGCCCAGCGCAAAAAGAAACAATCACGGAAAACAGGGACATCCCATCCAAAAAGGAAAAGAGGCAACCTTGAAGACCACTGCTCCCACAAAAAAGCGGGAAATATCAACATAGGGTTCGGAGCCAATGGACCCGTTCCCCTCCCCGCTTTGACCAAAAAATCCGCAGAGCTCACGGACCCTTACCCCATGGCAGCTCCCGCTGAACGCCTCGGAAGGAAGACTTGGTTCCATTACAGCCGTGTTGGAGATGGCAAGTGTAAAGCTTTTCAGGTACCCTTCACGTGCTAGTCCGCCCGCTGAAAAAACAAAAACAAAACACATCCAGTTTTGATAGATTCCCGTTAAAGCCAAAGGGGAGAATAAACAACACACTCTTAAGCAAATGAAAGGTAACGGACCTACCTTGAGCTCGTTCACTCCGTTTGCCTTCGCGTTTTTGCGATCCAAGGCGCCGATAGTGGCGAACATGGCCACCCGCCCGTTCTTCAGCTCCGACTCGCGGCGTCGCCTGGCGCTCGGCGCTGCTGTGCGTCTGGATCAAAGGGGATGGAAAGGCCAAAGGGAAGACAATCTCTGGGCTGTCCAAACTGATCCCCCGCGAAAAGTGACTAACTTGTGCGTGAAATGGGAAATCCCCACTGAACACTAAACAGCGAAGGGGTCGGCAGTACTTATTGAGAAACACAACCAAATCCGGTTGCACAAGTGGTCCGAGACTCAGGTTCCAAGAATTTCCCAGATCGCAAGTGCCCCACAACTATGGTACATTACGAAGGTCGTATTCATCCCAAGGATGCGCACTCTGAGAAACCCTCCCCCCAGAATGAAACCACCCCTGATGTTTACAGTCCTCCAGACCTTAGTTGACAGCACCCATTTGACAGTTGAGAGGTCCATATCCATCTGGGCCATTGACCAAACTCTCAATATGAGGACCATTGAGGGCGGGGGTCCCTTTCACTGGCTGCCGGTACGTCTCTGAACGTTCAACGACTGCTTCGGCCCCCGCGTTGAAAATCCTAATTGGTCGCCTTCTTTTTGGCTTCACTTTAAACCAACAAGAGAAGACAAAAAAACACCACAAACAACAAACAACACAGACACAAAACAATGAACTCATCAAACGACATGTCAGTCAATCTTTAAACCCACGGTTTTCACACTTGTTGCTGCTGACTTAGGCATTGCTTCAACCCACAAAAAAGCAAACAGCAACAAACAAAGCACAACCCTTCCCCCCAAACAAAAACAACAACACAATCTTCAATCCCACACCAAATGCACAAAAATCCCACAAAAACACACAGTGCAGTCAACCTCTTTAAACCCGCACCAAATACACAAAATCCTACAGACCCCCACCACAAACCAACAGAAACCCAAATCCTTCCATTTGCTTAAGCTTCCTGGCAGTGGCTTTCATGTGTCCAGTGGTGAAATGGATTTCCTTTGAAACCAGCAAGGAATGAAAAACACATACTCCCCGATTCCATTCTTTTCAGCCATCGTTATTTTCAAAAACCGATCGCTGTTTCCCCCGGGTTTGTTGGTGGTTTCCAGAAAGATTCGGATCTCTGGAATGAATGGACATGGAAGTTACCCCTAGAAGTGTGGGGAAAAAAGAGTCAAGAGCGTCAAGAGATTGCTGGTTCCCCATTTTCCATGGTGGCATTCTGGCGATCTAAGCGCTGCGCCATGCCCCAATGGAAGTGAAGTGTCCCCTAGAGGTATGTGTGTTTTTGGTTTTCATGGGACCCCCCAAATGGTGGTTGATCTGTTGGTTTTCCCTTTAAACCTACCCCTGAAATGGAAGTTGCCCAACCGGCGCCTGAAGGTCTCCACGTCACCGTCTTTGGAGAGGCCCAGCGGATCGAAGTAGCCCAAAGGCGCCTCCAAGAGTCCAACCAGCTCCAACCCCCCCCCCCCCCGGCCACAAGGCACTAACCCGGCCTCCCGTAAAAGCAACTCGCCCCATAGTGGCTGCATAAATAAATACGGTAAACTATGTATATATGTATATCTATACGTACACTATATATATATATATATTATACATGTGTTTCTACGTATGTATGTGTGTAATGTAATGTAATGTGATGAAATGTAGTGTAGTGATGTGTAGTGCAGGTCAATATCATATAATATCATGTAATGTAATGCGTGCATGTACATGAGACATATCAGTATTCAACGCATATTATACTGCGCAACTAATACATGTACAATGACTGTTTACATTGGTACACAGAAACAACATATACGCCCAATAGTGATAGTTTCTCTTTAACACCAACAGGGGAACGTAACACATATTCATTTCAGCAAGTGGAAGCAGTTTAGGGTACCCTAGTGTAAACACCCATCTGCTGCAGAACCAAAAGGCACAACGCGTGTTTATGTTTGTTACATGTCATGATGTTGAACCGCAAAGACTCTAAGTGAGTCACAAGCAAAACCTGGTACACAAATGGTCGACCCAGAACCATGCTTCAAGAACTAAGGCGGATATCCGCTATTTATGGCAAGGGGATCGCTTACTAACCTTCACTTACCAAAGGGTTTTGAGCACGTGGCTCACCTGAAAATGTTGACCCCATATTTTCATCAACTCCAGTTGATTCATCTGGGGGGGGCCCTCAGGTGGATCACCTGAGAAACCTGTGCGAAAAAAAAAAAAGGGGAAACAACAACAAAAAACAAAACAAAAAAACGCCGCTCGCCTGCACGCCCAGCTCGCTCTCGAAGGCCCGCAGGGGGGAGTCGGTGTAGTTGGCCCAGTCCCCCCAGGCGGAACCGGTGAGCCCGTCCTGCGCGAGACGTTCAGTAAGTGCCCCAAATTCATTTCCTCACTTGAGTCACAATCAAAACCCGGTACAAAAATGGTGAACCCAGAACCATGTAAAGAACTAAGAAGGCGGCCGCAGCTATATATGGCTGGGACTGCCCCTTACTAACCTTCATGTACCCGGGTTTTGATTGTGGCTAATGAAAGGTTAACCTTTTGGGGCTAACAGTAAAAATGGAACAACGCGGGAAAAAAACTAAAAGGTGGGCGTCTGAGTTTCCAGTGGGCTACAAAAACAAGGTATGCTACAAAGCACTGGACATGAAACAAAACAAAACATGCTATAAAACACTGGAGATGAAACAAAACACAACATGCCACGCTTTTGTAGCATGTCCCTTTTTCCAGTGGGCCTCCTGAGAAACAAAAACACGCTACACAAGTTGTTGAAACAACCTCCCTGATGTTAAGTGCATTTTTCCCAGTGGACAATATTGCTGGGGCATCGGTGCTTCATGGTATCGGTGTTGCCGCCTGGACCCGTTGTAATGGTCCTGTATCGGTTTCTTGCCAGTAAACCACCAAGCACGAATCAACAGGTTCCAGGGTGCCAGGCAGTTTCCAGAAAATTTCCAGATGATTCGTGTGTGTGTGGTGATTTGGGTCGAACACCGTTTTAATTGGGCGCCCTTTGATGGACTTACCTGAGAAATCCTGTCCGTCAACCATTTTGAGGGTGTGTTGCGTGGGCTACGCTGTCCTCTTGTTAAGCCCACGGAAAAATAATTTATGTCCAGTAATGATATATTTTTTTGGAAACCAAGAGGGGGAAATCAAACATCTTAAGCAAATGAAAGCCTCTCTACTAGGCATGTGTCCTGGAAGAACATGCCAATGATGGCCATCATCGCCAACCGCCCGTTGGCAAGCTCCGCGTTAAGCTTCTTCCTCAGGCGGTTACACCAGTTTTCGGGAATTCTTTTGGCCATGAAGGTGCAAGGTGCTTGACCCTTGGAAAAAAGGCGCCCCCCCCTGGTTGGCCTAGCTTGCAACCTGCCCTTGCTTGCTCGCTTGCTTGTTTGCTTGCTTCAAGTCTCCGTGTTCAATTTCAGATCTGAACCGCTGAAGCTCCACAATCAGCTGGCGAGCCGGCGCTGCTCGCTTGAACATCTAGCGCGCTTTGCCTGTCTTGCGCGCTTTTGGGACCAGATGGCGCCGCTTCCTTTGAGCCAGCTGCGCTTCCAGCGCCTTCCGCAAAAGCAAGCCGGATGCTGCTCCGCACGCCATCCACGCACTCCATCCTGCCATCTCGCTGAAGCGAGCCGGCCTCAAGGTGCGGCTGTTGGTTCAGATGCAGCCTCAGGATCTGAGCAGCCCCATGCAAGGGCCAAGCGCCTGATCCAACCTCACGATCACTTGCGCCCACGACTCGCCCGTGGCGTCGTTACATTGATCCCAAAAGACCATTGTTTTTGGAGGAATTTCCTTCAGAGATGGTTCTTTGCCAATTTGCAGCACAGGTTGCGACAACAAACTCGAGGCAGGGCGGCGCGTTTGGGCCAATAAGCGGAATACGACATTATGCCTGGTAAGGCATCTTCATCACACTGGCGGCCCACGAGTGGAGTCTCAAGGGGCCTCGACCACAGAGTCCGCAAACCTCTGGGCCAGGGCAACCTCTTTGACGAACGCCCAGACTGCTCAGCGCAAACGAACGGGGACTGGGCCGAGGCAGCTAAGGCGTCATCGGACTCTCGCGGGCCATCCACACGCATTGCCACGGCCTTTGGGCCCCGGGCCGCACTGACCTGAGGGGAAGCTGCCAGCGCAGGGGGACCCAGCTCGGCAGCAAAACAGTCAGCCGGGGCCCGAAAGTTCAGACCACCTTTGGGTCGCACAAAGTCTTCCACTTCTCTGGGCAGCGGTCGCACTTGCGCGAAGCTAACCCTGTAACGTGATCGCGCAAGGGGAAAACATCACGCCGGCAGACAAAGCAGAATGCCGACCCAAGCCCCTACTACTGCCAGATAAAAAGTCAAGCTTCCATTTGCTTAAGCACCCTGGAAAAAATACAAATATCTCCAGTAGAGATAGATTCCCTTTAAAACCAACAGGGGAGAATAAAACATATTGCTAAGCAAATGGAAGCAAGAAAAGCCCATCGTTCCAGATGATGCCCGCACCTAAGTCCAAGCACACGTGAGGGAGACCGCGGACGGTGCAAAAGTATGGAAAGAAGACCAGGATCCGAAGAGGGGGCGTAGCCCATGAAGAGGTCCACAACAAACGCCCACCAACTGCACGAAGCCGAACAACCACTCCACCGCCGCCTTTTTGTCTCCAGACCGCCACATGGCTGAAAACTCGTGCACTTGAGGTGCTTGATGGACGCTGCACCGCCCCGGGGAGGAAGCTGGCGCAGCCCAAGGGCTACTCCCAGAATCCCAATGGTTTGGGCCAAAGGGGCTAAAAGTATCATGGGTGAGCTCGTTTAGCCCTTAGGTGAGCTCGTTGCAATTTGCCTCGCTTTATGTTGCGTGGCTGTAGTGCAAAACACATTCGAACAATATGGCTGTGCAGGCCTGGCACCTATCTTGCATGAAGCGGAACGTGTCCAAACCCAGCCGCCATGTGTGCGCCCTTACCATCAGCCTTTGAACACACTCGCAAGGGACGCGTGCAAAACACAATTATGCGTCCGTGCTTTTAAGAGAAACACCCAATGATTTCCCTTTTTCACTCAGTTCTCAAGATTGGACCACACGTTTAGAAAGAACAACCCCCTTGCAAGAGAAGCATCGCCCCATTTCTAGGAGGATCCGTCAACCCTCCTTCTTGAAACGAATATATGTCTCCCCTGATTTGCTGATAGCTGGTGTACAAACAATATCCCTGGAACGAATCTGCAAGTATCCCCCTACAAGCTTGAACACCCTACAAGCTTGGAAAGAAACGCGCTTGTGCAAGAAGCAAGACTCACCCCAGGTTTGTCGAACAACCTATGGCTGGACCCTTACAAACTACCCTTCTCAGCATCCTTGTAACTTCCATTTGGTTAAGACCCCTGGAAAAAACACATTTCCAGTAGTGATAGATTCATATAGATTCCCTTTAAAACCAACAGGGAAACATGAACCAACTATTCATTTCAGCAAATGGAAGGTAACCTTGCCGTCGCGGGTCTTCTTGGTCTCCTCATCAGTGATGGCCTTGCCTCCCAGGTATCCGGGAAGGCCCAGGAAGCCATACCTCCGGGCAAGGCGCTTTGGACGAGCGGCTGTGCGCCGTTGAAGCGTGCAACTTCCGGGGGGGTGGTTCCATTTTGGGAACCAAACAAAAAGGGCCTTTATTGGAGGGTGTCAAGCGACGTGACTCTGGCAATGGCCCCAAAGATGGAGGACATCCTGACAGGAATCCTGACAGGAATCCTGCCCAAGTGGAACCGAATTGGGGTAGAACGCCTATCCAATGCGCGACTTGTTTGTCGTCCCTTTGGCTCCCTCAAGAAATATATAGCCAAAGACCTCAAGGGCAGCCAAGATTTTTACTTCGCCCGCAAAGGGCGCCCGTTTCACCCCTTCTGCGGGGGCTTCGTGCTGTTAAGGGCTGCCTTTTTGGTGTGGTTCAAAAGGAAACCAACAGAACACAATCACCTTTTGTTTGGGCCTCCTATTTTGACACATACCCGTAAAGGCTTTGCTTTTCAGCCAGGTAGTATCTACAAATGTGCGCCACCGAGGGAACTCCACCGAAGCCGAGGCGCTCATAGTTGGTGGTGGACTCTCCGAAGAGACGCGTCTGGAGCTTGCCCGGGGGGTTGCTGGGCACCTGGCAGGCGATCTCAAGGCGAAATGCTTTCCCCAGTCGAGATGTCATGGGGGCTGGGGGAGGGGAGGGGAGGGGAGGGGGAGGGGAGGGGGAGGGCCAAATATAAGCCCTTCTTAAGCACTTAATAATAAGGCCTTACTTAGGAACTATGTGGGCTGCCTCCCCCTCCCCTCCCTCCCCTCCCTCCCAGCCCCAGGCCCCATGAAGATCCTTCCCAGCAAAACGGCCGGGTCTTGGGAAACGGAGCTGTCAACTCAGATCCCCCGCTTAAAGTTCAACTTTTCGTGGGCTAAATGGACACTATCACTCACCACTAAGAAGCCACAGAGTTAAGGAACCGGATGGCTGGGAGCCACCAAGGAAAACGATGGCTGGAAAGACCGGGGAATCAACTCCTCGAATCTTGGCGAGGGGGTGGGACTGGGGGGACTGCTTTGGCCTTCGAATCCCCTTGACTGCAAAAACCACCACGCAAATATGGGGCCCGGTGGACTAAAACCGCTCCAGCCTTTGTGGCGCGTTTATCCCTTGCACAAAGTTAATCCTCTATGGGCGGATATGGGATATGCCGTTTTGGCATAGATCCAAACCGGTACAAGGCTAAGGTGTTTGGCTGCCAACCAACCAGTGCGAGCAACAGGTTTTGTCGCAGCGCCATTGTAATGGAGAGCAGCATCACCACATTGAGTCCGCCCAGCAACAGATCGGTCCAGGTCCGGTTTCAGGAACCACACCCAAAACCACACAATGCTTAACGCCTTGTACATATGGACAGAAACGAACAAAACGAAAGGCCAACAACTACTCGGATAATGTAAGGGTGCTCTTTTGCCAGGGTGGGGTGGGATGGGATGAGAGATGAACACACATGTTCGCTTGAACATTATCAGATTGCTTGACATATCCCCTGAAGAAACCCGAGATTCGTCTAAGTCCCAGGGCTCACTTAGTAACCCGGGTCTGTCCTTGGGATCTGTGCTTCCACCTCCCCCCCCCGGCAGTTTGGGTGCCAGGGCCACAAGAAACCAAAAGAAGTAATGGACGAAGTTAAAAAAAACAAAAAAAAAACGGCACCTGCCACCCTAAAAAACCGATCATGAACCGAAAATCGGACACCCGGATCCAGAACTTGGTCCCTTCAGTACAATGATCAGAACTGCTCCAAAGGCGGTCCCTTGGGATCCTCTGGGCGTCTTCGGGTCTTCGCCCCCCTGGAAAGGGATGTGTGCTCCTCTGCTCCTCACCCCTGCGGCTTCCAAGGGCTTCCAAAGGAATGGGGCCATAAAGAGACGCCTGGCTGCACCTGAGCTGCGCAAACCGAAAGGGAAGCCACAGAAATTCTGAGTGTCTCAGGGTTTCTCACAACAAAAGTGCCACCAAGCGGTGGCGACAGCCGCCGAAATATGTGTCATCCTTCTCTTGAAGGGAGGTTGTTTCAAGCAATCTTGCAACCAAGCCTGGCTTACACTCCCTTTTTGCAACAGAAAAAAACCCACAGAGAGTTTCCCTGAAGAGCCCTCAATTTCGCCATCCCATGCATATGCCTGGTGCATGAGCCAAAGGTCGCAAATGCCGCAGAAGATGGTGTACTGGAACCTTGCACAACACAACACAGCCCGACCGCAAAGCACCAGGATGGATAGAAGCCAAGCCACTCCCCCCACCCGAAGAAGGCGCTTTGGCCTTTTTTTTGCGGCCTTCTATGAGGAACTAGAAAAAGCGGGAAGTTGAGGGCGCGTTGAATCCTACGAAAGGACACAGGAATGTCTCAAAAGAACATGCTTGGTTCCCAAGCTCAACAGCCCATTGACTTTTGGTTCTACCAGCGGAAAAAATAGGCCTTTCAATTGTCTATATGAACCCAGGTAGTAGAACCACCTACCCTGATTCCAACAATAATGGAAATGGACTGGGGACTTCTCAAAAGAAAAGTAGTCTTCAACATCCCTTCTGTCTGCCATGATTGGAGGGAGGGCAGTAAAGAGGCCCTAGGGACCTCATACAGGGTTCATATCAAAATAAGTATCCGACTCCCCAACATACCAACTCACAAAAAATACAACCCAACTGGGTGTGTGTGTGTGTGTGTGTTTTTTCTTTTTCCTTTTTTTTTCTCGCTACCCCATTTCGCGGTTTTCAAGCAGTCCAAAGGTTCCGAGGCCCGGACCAGCCCACTGCCGGCACCTTGGTCACTGCCGCCAGGCCGTTCGGGAGGTCCGCGAACTTCAAATCGCTGCTGGGGGACAAAGACCCCGGGAAGCGCACGAACTCCTCTCGGATGCTTAGAGCACCAGACATCGCAGAGAGCTGAGTTTCCCTTGGGTGAACGAGGGCACAGGTTTTTTTTTTTAGCTGGTGGATTTTGAAGGGAACCCAGCCTGACAAGAAGAACAATTCGGGCGCCACTCTGGCCATGAGTCATGGAAGCGGACAGGGAGCTTGCCCAAAAAAGTCGTCTTCCAACATCCTCCTGTCAGCTTCCATGTCAGTTGAAGGGAGGGTAAGCGCACACCAAGAGAAGTTACACACAATCAGCTTTGACAGTTGCGAAAAAGACAGTATTGGAACAGCTATCTACATATGGCCATGGGTCAAAAGCCCGTACCCCAAGTGAACATCCCAATCCCACTAACATAGACTAAAATGGGTGGTGCACCGACCCCAAAATGGTACCATTGGTTTTGACCCACAGCCATATGATGCTCTTATACCGCACCATTTCAACGAAAGGGTTTCCCATGAAGGGAAGCTTCATGGATGAGGTCGCACTTTCGCGGTAGCTGTGGCCGGTGTGGTCGCGAAGTCATGTGTTCAGAGCTACGCACTGGTGGAACCCCCTCACACATTCAGCCGCTCTCGGGCGCGGAACCCATTCTTTGGGACACCCAAACGAGGACATTGAGTTGGACCCCTCTTTCCTCCTCCTGGCTGCGAGTCACTCAGCCGATGCTGAATTTGTAAAAGAAACCAGGGGAATGTATCATTGAATGGGCCCCTTCAACTGGCAGGTGGCAAGCGCCGCTTGCCGTTGCCCTTCTCACTTCCTGAGTTGATGGTTCAAACAAAGTCCGAACATTTTGTGTACCACGCAAATGGTCCAAAACCAAACAGTTTACTTTTTGTGAACCACTAAAATGGCCAACAGTTTAAAGTCCATGAACTCAGAAAGTGTCCCTTCCCTGAAACATATGTTGCTCTCCTGCACGATGTACCCGGTGCAAGCGAGCATGGAGACACGCCCGTGCTTGATCTCGACCACCCGTCGCCGGTAGAAGTCCTGCAAGTTGGGCGACTCATTTTCTTCGGAGGGTCAATCAAACACCTCCAGGGGACTCTTCCTTTTCCATTCTTTCCAGGGATCCGAATCTTTCCAGAAAACCACCCAAAAACCCCGGGGAAACAGCGATTCGGTGTCTAAAAAGAACGATGGCTGAAAAAAATGGAAGGAGAATCAACCCCTCTCGCTGGCTGAGTGAATGGCCCAAACAAAGTCCAAACTTTATATTTCCCACTAACATGGTCTCCCCAAAAAGTTTAAAGTTCATGAACTCAGGAATCAACCCCTAGAACACCAAGTGGACTGTGGATGTTGCTGAGGGTACCTTTCAGGTGGGTGTTCAAGGGACTTTTTGGTCGAGGGAGCCCTTTTTCAGGTTGGTTTTAAAGGGACACTGACACCAAAACTTACCCCTTAAAACTCCCTGCGCCCTGGGGAAGTTCATCTTTTACAGGCATGTAGCCCATGTTACCCCCAAAAAAGGTTGAAACGTTGTGTTTTTAAAGAGGTACGTCAGAAAAGGAAACAACCCACCATTTGGGAGGTGTTTCTTCGGGGATGCGGATCAGCATGGTGTTTTTGTTGTTATTGGCCCAGACTCCTTTTGGTTGCCAAAACAAAAGAACTAAACAAAAAAAAACTAAAACAATAAAACACTATGGGTTCCAACAATCCATATGGGTGTCTTTTTGGGTACATACATGAGTTAGTGGGGTTGGGGAAACGAAGTTCCGCTTTTCGCTCTTGGGAAGACATATTTGTGGGTGGGCTGAATTTAAAGGGACACCAAAAGAAAAACACACAACACAAACTAAGAGAGGCGAGCAGGCCACCGCTAGAGGTTTGCGGAAGTGAGCCGACGGTGTTTTTCGGTGCTCGTCCTTGGCATCGCCGTCCGCGGTAAAGCCGGCGGGGTCCCAAAATCCCACGGGAGCTTGGACGCCCAACTCGCCCTCGAAGGCGCGGCGAGCCACTGGCGCCTCCTACCAGACTGACGAAATCGATGTCTGGGGCCATGCTGCTGACCCCACGCTCTTACCACTATCAAAGTCAATCCCGAAGTGCTGGGTTAAAGGGACACCACCCCAGTTTCTGACTTTCATAACCCCCCAAAAATGAGCCCAGTGCTACGTTGATCAGTGGCCCAAAGAGCCCGGCAGAGGTTAACCTTCTGGGGCCAAGAAAAATGGGCCAAAGAGGCAACTAAAAGCCCGCATTGGGCAAGCGAGGTTACAGTCACCATGGATGATTTAGTCACGATGTAAAATGAGCGGTATCTAAATTTGACGTTGGCGCAAAATGTAGTATGAAGATCACGCCACAAGCTGATATACGTTATATCTCCGCCATTTTTGTAGCCACTCTTGTCTTGATCAGAACGTGGAACATACAACATAAATTTCCAGGGGCCAGCCCCTTCCCCTACTTCAATCTTTGAGGTAGACGATTAACTTTTCTGAGAACTTCATCTCTCCCTGTCTTCGGAAACGCAGCCGGAGATCTTCCAAAAGGGGAAGCCGCCTCGGTTGGGAGGGTTGTATGTACAGGGAACCCACAGCGAAAACCACAACTTAATGATTTGCGGGGTATACTTCGAGTAAGAACCACCCATATTCTTTGCCAGACTTAGAACCCCCTGCAACGAAAAACAAAACTTCTTGTTGGTTGGAAGGGAGAAGGGTGGAAAGCCAACAAAGCTCGCTGTCAAACAGGTAAGACAAGTCTGGCAATGTACTGGGCTGTTGCTCAAAACATGGTACCCAAAATGCAACCTTGGCAAATGGACTTAAAGACCAACAACCGTGTAAGCCTAGCTCTTTTTGCATCAACATAGGAATCGGAACCCTCAACAAAAATGGCTCCAACGGTCTTCCTTTTGGTTTCCCTTTCAAACCTTACAAAAAGGGGTACCAAAAAAAACAGACTTATTTCGGAGTGTCTTCTTTGAGTTGGTACCAGTACCCTTGGGTTGGTTCAAAGGGAAACCCATGCAGATCATTTTGAGCTACCCATTGAGCCAAAAGGGGGTGCCCTGTTTTAAGGGAGCCCCCGAAATGCGCTGCATTGCGCCGCAACGGCTTTGCTTTCGTTTTTCCTTTAAAACCACAAAAACAAGTACCAACTGAAAAAAAGAAAGACCCCCCCCAAAGATGTTTTTTCCTATGCGTTTCCCTCCTTCCGGCTTGCGGCCGCCAGCGCAGATGCGCCCAACGCCACCCCGACCGTGCTCAGCACGCTGCCGCCCATGCCCAGGCCGGTGGCGGGGGTGGAGCTGGCAGCAGCACCGCGGAGCCTCGGAACAGTCCCGGCCAAGGTTCTCGACGTATGCGGCCCCCCCCCCCCCCACCACCACGAAAGCCAGACTTCAGTTGCCAACCAAAAGCCCTCTACTCGGCGTCTGTGAGGAAACCGAACAGGAACCATTGAGGTCATACTGCAATCACCTACTCACTTCCTGATTGGATTGACCAAGACAAGTCCAAACCTGTCGTGCATGCCTTAATATAGAGTCAATAAAATAAACTTAATACCAAGGCCATTTGTAGGAACAAGGACTTGCCTTCTTTTGGCTCTTTGAACAGGTTTCGCCCTCGACAAGTTGAAAGCTTGGCACTGCTGGAGGTCTGGGAGGGTGGTCACAAGGCAAACCCAGCCAAGTTTCTCAAATGCTAAAGAGCCAACCGCCAAAATTGCTCCATTAAAAAAAATCACAGCGTAAAAAAATGTTTCCCTAGAAACCAAAGGGCAACTAGAGACCCCAATACCAAGTTGTTGCCATCTCCGTTCAAATTAGAGGCTTGGTCTACCCCAATCCTGAAACCACTACAAGGGGGAGCCCTTTTGCAAAATCCAACATTATGAAACGACCAGGGATCCAATATCTATGGAGAGCCCTTGAGTGGCAAAGCGGGATTGGCTTTGAACAGCCCAGAAATTGCGACTAGCAACCCTCCATCTGCGTTTTTCCCCTAGAAAAAAGAGAAAAATATGTCCAGTAGTGAATTCGATTCCCTTTAAAACCAAAAGGGAACATCACGCATATCCATAAACAAAGCTGGACGTGTATGATTCATGTAACCAATTGGTGTTGTTAGCCCGGTGGATTCGGAAAAATTGAAGCCCTAGTTCTTGTAGAGCGAAGGAAGAAGTCGATTCCCTTAAAAAAAGAGAAAAACTGATTAAAACATACCTAGAGTCTCCTTCTGACCCTTAAAAAATGGTTGGTCATTACCCAAAAGAAAGGGGTCATGCCCCTATTTTTTAAAGGTCATGGAGACTCTAGGTATTCATTTCAGCAAATGGAAGCAATGGACCTCCGTGTCTTGCGAAGGAAGGCGCCCGCCAGACACCTTGGACCTCTGGTTGGGCAGGGTCACGAAAGCACAGCCTGCCACGGCGCCCGCGGCTGCCGCAGTCTTGGAGAGGCGAGGAGCCTTGAGGTCGTTTTTGACCGCGAGAGGTGTCGCTGGTTGAAAATCGATGGTTCTGGGGTAGATATGAAACAACAACCAAGTCAACCAGGAATTAGAATCGCCATCCAAGTTCTACCAAGACAACTAACAAAATGGAACCTATGTTGGTGAGGTTGCTGCTGTGGATGGACAAACTCGGTTTGGGTTGGCTTCACAGGGTGTCATGCATTCCGGGTGCGAAATGGATTGCGTGAATCCACCATAGAATCTGCCATGAGTATCATTTACGCGGGATTTTGGGTCCACCAACCATTTTGGAGAGTCTGCGTCTCTGCGTCCCATTGAAGTTCACCAAACGGGAAGCTGGACATACGCCCGAATACCCAGCTGCTGTTTGCAGTTTTCTGGGCCAAACACATCCGACCCCCTGTAAAAAGGGATGGCCTTTGCCGGTTAAAAGGGAACATGAAGGAACGCCACACAGGCAACAAGGCCTACCACAGGAACTCAGACGCCCAGTGGATTTCATGGAAAAAATTGCTTTTTCTTGATGGCTGAGTTTAAAGGGAGCCCTTTCCCCAAAAAAGGGAAACAAGGGCACCACTGGGTTTGAGCAGCGCCCAACACCTACTGACTTTTGGTTCTACTTACAGAGGTTAATTAGGTTTATAAAGGCCTTATTACAACCCCCCCCGCCCCCAGCCCCCGGAAGCAGGTATTAGAACCACACTTGCAATGGTCAAGGGGGCGTTCTGGGCGTTGCTCGTTTGGCTTCGGGCTCAGTCGAAGCTGAGAAGGTGGCATGAAAGTTCGCTGGCGGTCAGGTTTCATCCCAAGGGTTGGCTGCGCAGTGGAAATTAGGAAATTATCCAGGTCGCGAGCAGTTCTCGGTCTCGTTCCCGCTGGTAAAACCCATTTACTCCCATCCAACCTCTTTTCTGAGTTGGTCGCAGGTGCTCTGCCCAAAGTGGCAACCACTTTGAGCTAGGCGGTTTACACTTTCGTCAATTTCCAAGAGGGGAATAGTCGATGATTTCGGTCGAGCCAAGGAGCCATGGTCGAGCAGGTGGAAATCCGCGAACGCCGACGAGGGAACCCGCCTTTTTGCTCGAGCAAAAATGGCTGCGGTTGCGCGGAGGCTGAGCGCCGCCGTTGAAGCGAGGCGATATTCAAACTGGTCTTACATCTAGGCAAAACTGCTAAACTGACTGAGCCAAATCCAAACACGTGATGTGCATTTCTTCTTTGCCTCAGTTCTGAACGGCTAGTGATCGTTTTTTGCCAGTACAAGTGACTGCAAGGCAACAGGCGCTGCTCCCCTACAGATTAGTAGAGAACTCCGAAAGGGGTTCCAAAAAAGGCGGGACGCCTGTAAATGAGGGGTTGTGAGAGAGCATACCATGGCCGCATGACCCAGAAACCAAGGAGTAAGCTTTTGACACCAGGTCGATTCGTTCTGGGTGTTGGGGAAAAAGGTAGGAAGGAAGACTAGATGTGCCACTCCCCTATGTAAGGAAGCCAAAAGACACACCCATGTTTAGAGCAGTTTCCTTCTGGGGGAACCATGTTGATTTGCAGGGTATGGAAATCGGGAGTCTGGAAAGGATCTGTCTTGCTCAGCCGAAGGCGCCCAGATTATGGATTTCACAATCATCAGGGATCATCCTCTTGTGGTTTCCTGAAGGGGAACTACTGTGGATGCTTCGCACTAGGGCAAACCATTGTTTGCTGGAATCATCATTCCAGGAGGATTTCGTCCATCCACTGTAAGGCGACAAACGGACGCCCTTCTTTGGCTGGGGTATGTTGAGGGCACGCATGGGCACGCCCAACGAGGGGCACTGTGAGGTCGTGGAGATGGGTTATGTATGGGTTATGTGAGCCACCCACTCAAAACACCACTGACCCCGTACCCCGCCCCGTGGACCCCCCCCCCCGCCCCCCCCGCAAAGTCCCAACTGCTCCCCAGATTCACCCGGAACCCCGCCTGGGGCAAATGAGCCAAAGGAGATTGCTCCAAAACGCGGAGTATTCTGGGTTCCAGGTTCTGCGTGAAGAAAATTGCCCAATCCACCATCCCTGTTGGACAAAACGCAACCTGGCCGCGGAACGCCACGGAATCCCCTCGAGTGGATCTGCTCACCGAGACCTATCCCTCCGAGCCTGCCACGCTCTCGGGCTAGAGGCTGTGGCTCACAAAGATCTCCATAGGTGCAGTGTCCGGCTGGACCCCTCATGGCTCCACTGCCCAAACACAAGCATGCACTGCCTCCAGGTACCCCCCCCAGTGAGGAACTTGTGTCATTGGTGAGGTCACAAACTAGTCTCGTGTGAGGTCGCAACACTTTGCCAAACAGACTAAGTGAGCAGTGCCCGATGTGCGGGTGAGCCCAAATGCCTAAATCGCCATGACATTGATTCATATGACACACGCAGCGGCAAGACATACTCCCCTGCAACTTAACATGGAACCTTACGGAAATAAGACATCTGCAAGTCAGGGATCTTGACCAGAGCATGTGGAAGCATAGCTCATGTATTCCAAGCTTCTGCTTTAAATCTCTTTGACCATGCGAGGAAGCCATGGACACTAGCCACACATGCTTGACATGATGACCTGTGTCTGGGACCTCTATCAGCTTGAGCCGAGCAGTATCAGCGTATCAGCACGAAGCACCAAGTATCAACTTCGCCGATCACCTCCAAAATGTCGCATCCAATGACATTTCGAAGACATCAGTGTGATGTTGCTACAAGTCCACCATCCAAATTGGGCTTCGAGTCGCACGGAAGCCAAGGCGCCAGGATATCCTGTAAATCACGGAAATCCCCGGACTGAAAGTCTTTACCCTGGCGGGGTGGTACTCTGTGGGCTGGCCAAACAAGACATGTATCAGAGGCTCTTTGCTCCAGCTTATCACTTGCTCCAAAACGGCTCCCAGTGCTTCCTTTGCCCTAGTATGCAGCCAAGGGAACAAATCACTTAAAACCTAACAGGAAAATGGCTAGTAACTATACACTGGCATTTGGGGCAGGGTTGCCGAAACCGGAAGGTATTGAAGATGGGGGGACCTCACTCCTATCCGTAATCCGTAGCGGGACACCGGCCAGTACAAGGAATATGGATTGCAGAACGCAGTGTTTTCAGCCTTATTTTCCGCTCTTTTGCACATGTCTGCTTCAGCAAAAATCAGGGTTAGGATGCCTTGCAAATCACAACTTGTACGTACACTTATTTTTGCGGATGGCTGCATTTTGAACCCAGACAGGCGACAAAGCACCATTCACCAGAACCCTTCGATTGAGCGCGCGGTCTCCGAATGTGGGGACCCGGCAGGAAAGCTGGCCAAAGGTTGGTCTGCAAGTGGTCCTCCGCCACTCCGAAGGGAAAAAGGGTGCTGAGTGTCTCTCTCTCTCTCTCTCTCTCCCTCTCTCTCTCTCTCTCTCTCTCTTGCCGTTTGGCTTGTGTGTGCTGCTGGTTCTGGTGGTGTTGGTTTTGGCTTGGTGTTGGTTACCCGAAAGTGCAACTTTAACGGTTTGAGACCTGGAGAAAACATGGGCCAAAAGACATTCACGCAAGTATCTAGCATCCGCCAGGGTTGGTTTTCGTAAGGCCCGACAGGATCAATGGCTTTCTGAAGAAACGGGCGAAGAGAATGCGGAATCAACTTTCAGAAAGTGGTTGACCATCCCCAGAAGGTTGGGCATAAACAGTGAAAGGATGTCACCATTGGGTCCTAAAGCCCGTGAGGACAAGTCATCTCAGTGAAGGAATGTGGTGACTTAATGCCCATTTGCATGACATGTACCTGGTGATCAAGTCATATTTTGAACTCCATCAGTGGTAGGTTTGTTGCCGGAATGTGGTTCACCAGTGATTGGAAGAAACAGAAAACTCCGCAAGCCATTGATGCAGCTTGTAACGCCGAAACACGGCGTGTCGTCTTGTCACCCAGCAAATGTTCTCATGTCTGCGAGTAAAACATGGGAAGGAACTACATAAAGGAAACAGATGCTGAAATCAGAGCAGCGAACACAGAAGAGTTTCTTTTGAGTGAACCAATTCTAAGTTGAACCTGTACTAAGCAACTCTTCACCAATACTCAATTCTAAACCCTGACTGCCCTTTTTTAAGTATAGTACATCTAAACCAAATCTATACCAAATACTCAATTCTAAACCAAATATAAACCAACACTCAATTCTTAACACACCAATTCTATCCGGTGATTCACACTTTTTCGAGCGTCTCCGGGTTCCGATAGCGAGCCTATTTGCTTGGTCGCTGCAACGACCCCCCTGCAAAAAGCGAGCTTCACTTTTTGGGGGGTTTAGTGGGAAACACAACTTGACTTCAACCAAAAAGCTAAAGTCTAAAGATCCGTTGCCCAACGGCGGTCAACTTTGGGCGTTTCCTTTTTTAGAAAAAACCGCCCATGCTGGTTGGCTTCCTCTGGGCTTCGTGCCCTCAAAGACACAGGCATGGCTCATGTGGCTCCTCATTTTCTTGCTGGTGCGACAGGTGGGGAATGTGGGAATGAGCCTGATGAACGTTTTCAGTTGGATGGTGTATGGGAGTCATTCTTTCATTCTCTGCTGAGAACCAGCAAGTTTCGGGCTGCGGTTTCTCCTTTTTTTGTGTGGCTCCTTACAGTTCCTTTTTCGCCTGGTTCCTCAATGCTGCTAGTTTAGTACCCTTGTGCGCTTTGAATCCTCGGTGGATTCACGAAAGCCGCATGGAAACCTGGATGAACGCGCCCCGGTAGGTAGGAGGTGCCTCGGTCCTTCACTCCACTGGCAATGTTGACCCATGCGGAGTTGGCATTGCAGTGCTAAAAGTAGACACTCAACTTCTTCAGGAAGCGATCAAACCGGGAGGGGGGAGGTACGATGTATCTACTTTCACAAAGGGTCGGGTTTCAAACAAGAACTGTTTACAAACAGCATCCATTTGGCTTCCCTTCAGAAACCTCCAGGGGCTGGTTGCGTAAATATATAGTTTGCAGGCACGCCTGACTTTCGCCCTACCCTGGACTCTCGCACACAGCGCAACAAGGCACAAATCCAAGGTACAAGAAGGCAAACCACAGATTCGGCTTTCCTTTTCGCCAACCCCAGGCTCAACTTTGTTTCGGAGGAGACCCCAGAACGTGCGTGCCCGCTCCGGAGGCACATCGTTCCGCTCGCCCTTGGCATATCGCTTGTACCGCTCCTGGCTGACCGGCCCGAAGGGGGGTGTTCGGCAAACACCCAGACCTGTCTGGGGGATTCCGCAAATTTCCAGCGGCTTTCGCTTCTGCCTGCCGAGTCCCGTGGATTTTTATAGGGACACCAGGACTTGCCCGTTTTTTGGGACTAGCTTGCAAGGTGATGCTGGCATGCGCCCGTTCGGAAAGTATCTGGAACCCTGGATGCCTTTGAATGCTGTCTCGCTTTGCCCATGGCAAAGCGCTGGTTTGCCTGTTTCAGACCGTCATGGAAGTGGACAGAAGAAGAGCTTTCGAAGACTCCCCTTATTGTAACAAGGTAGGAGGATCTCCTAGGGTACGATACCCTCTGGATGCCATCGCTTATCTGAATCCACTGGGTGAAGTCAAAGGGTACCAACAAAATTGCATCCAAACGGATTGGAGACCGGTTGCAAAGGGTTGGCCCAATCCTGAACAGGGGTGTCATGTTTTTTGAGGGCCCCTTCTAATTTTTTAGGCAATCCACCAAGGCAACCACCCTTCTTGGGGTTCGGCTATTTTGAGACAACCCCACATCTGGGCTTAGGAGACATGCCTTCCTCCAGTAGAGAGGTTACAATAAGTTGGTACCCTTTTTTCAGGTAGTCTATTCTAGTAGGGGAACCCTCCCCAAAAAAGAAACGGTAAAAGGGCACCTCGCTGGGGGACCTAGACGCTGACACCCCCCGTTGAGCCAGGTGCTTCCACTCCCTCTGGCCCAGGCTCGCCTGCCGCGCGAGGCGTTCCTCCGGCGTCTCCTAGCGATCAACAGCTTCGCGAGGTGTCCGCAGAAATCCGCACCAGAGCGGCGCGGAAAAAAGCGGCGCGAGGCTTTTCTGTTCTGACAACATGGTTGTGAAGGCATACGTGTGGTATACATATGTGTATATATATAC